CCCTTCTGCGCCTCTGAAAATCCCTGCCAGGGTGGAGGAAGGGAAGGGACGGGGGGCTGCCAAGTGCTCCACGCTCGCAGGCACAGACCCAGCTCCCCAGCGGCTCCAGGCAGGCGCGCTCCATCCCCCCCCGACCCAGGGACCCCTCTCCTCGCTGCGTGCAAGCAGGGCTGGCGGAGAGAAGTTCCCCGAAGCGTTCCCAGCTGGGATCCCTCTTGTCTCCAGCAGTCTAAACCTCACGCCTCCCCTGCTCAATGCCCTGCTTTACCTTGCTTTGCCCTGCAGCCCCATCCCCAAATTCACGAGCAGGAATCAAAACCCACCTGGGAGCGACACAGGACAGAAGCGGGTCCCCCCTCCGAGCGGGCTCAGCCACCGGTGCCAAAAGGCCCTCCCGATCCCCAGCTCGGGGAGCTACTGGGATAATTTCCACCCACTTCTCCTCTCTAGAGTGTCTAAATCAAATCCTGCGCGGGGATTAGCTCCGTGACCAGCCCTCACGTAAACCCCTCTGCGAGGAGACTCGGGGAACTGCAAAAAAAAAGTGCTGGGGTTTGGGTACTCCAGCCGGTGCTCCTGCCTGGCTCCTGGGTGTGCAAGGGTGCGTGGCTGGGTGCTTGCACGTGAGTGTGAGCGTGTGTGTGTGTGTGCGCGTGTGCTTGCTCTTGCTCCAAGCACCCTGCTCCCCTCGTCTCAGCGTTCCCACGCGTGTCCGTGCCCACCCGTGGGTGCCGGTGCCCGGGGAGGGGGACGCGCGTCCGTCTGTGCGCCCCCTGTCCGTGCGTCCGTGCGCCCCGCGCCCCCTCCGTGCCTGTACCCCCGGCTCTCCCCCGGTCCCCCCCGTTCCCCCCCGGCTCCCCCCGACCCCCGGCCCCGTTCCCCGCCGCCCCCAGCCCGCACTCACCCGCGGCCGCCGAGCCCTGCGCCTCCCGCCGGGACCGGGACCGGGACCGGGACCAGGACCGGGACCGGGGCCGGGGCCGGGGCCGGGGCCGGTCCCCCGGGGGCGGCGGGCGCTGGGGGCCGCCGCCGCGGCCGGGGCCATGGAGGGGCGGCGGAGCGGCTCGGCTCGGCTCGGCTCGGCTCGGAGCGGGGCGGCGGCGGGACCCGCCCGGCCCCGGGTCCCCTCCCCGCCCTCCGCCCGCCCCGGCCCCGGCCCCGGCCCCGCGGGGAGGCGGAGCGCGGGACCCGGAGCATCGCCGGGGAGGGACGGAGGAAGGGATGGAGGGATGGAGGTTACGGGGGGGGGGTTGTCTGGGGGCAGCATCCTTAGCCCCCGGCCAGCGAGAAGTTGGCCCCGCTCCGTGGAGCGCTGCTGCGGCACCCGGGGGGCTCCTGCCCAGCCCCTGCTCGGGGAGCGCACGGAGGTCCCCTGGGGGTCTCCCACCCGCCCCCCTCCCGCATCCCCCCTCCCGCAGCGGGGACCCCCGGCCCGGCAGCCCCGTGCGCGGGATGGGACCCGCTGAGACCCGAGAGAGGCGCTGGGAGCCTGGCCGTGGGCGAGCCCTGGGGAAGGAGATGGAGACCCTGCTCCTGCCCCTAAGCCCTGCCCCTGCCCCTGCTCCTGTCCGCAGGGCAGGGATGTGCCCTCATCCCGTTGTGCCCAGCCAGGCCAGGGCAGCTGCACTGGGAGCGGGTCTGCAGCAGCAGGAGCCTTTACTTCACCCTTTACTTGCTCCCTCCCAGCCATACAGCTCCAGGAGAGGGTATCAGCTGGAATAAAAGCATTATCCTAAGTTCACTTTTCAGCCACGCTGCTTGAAGGCAGCCCCCCGCAGACGCTGTTTAAGCAGGTTCCTGAGTGCTCTCCCCTCTTGGGCAGGCACAAAGAGGAGAGGCTCCGAAAGCAGCCAGGTTTCAGCATCCCACTTTGCTTCTCTTCCCCTGAATGTGCCAGAGATGTGCTCAGCCCCTCTGTCAGTCCCAAGGACTGTGGCACTGCATGAGCTGCATCGTAGTGGCATCCCACGGCCCCAGCAGCACGTTGTGATGCCCAAAAAACCAGCCCAGCCTTCCCCCATGTGCTCACACACCAGCACGCGTGGTGTGTCCATCGGTGGACATTCGGCCTCATTAAAGCCCTCTGCCACGCATCTTTTGCAGGCAGGCTCTTTATTAGGCTTTAATTAAAAATGTGCCAGGCTTCTCCTCATCACAGTTGTGGCAAATCTAAGAGCATCAAACCAGATCCCTGCTTTCCCCAGAGAGCCACAAAACACAGCTCCACTGTTCCCAACGTGATGGGAGCCACAGCATCCCATGGCCTGTAAGGAAATGCAGATTGCAGGCACCTGGCTTTATTGCAGGGACCATTGCTGGGGAAGATTTTTAGGGCCAAAGCTCAGATGTGGGGCTCAGGCTGTTCCTCACCCATCTCCAGCAGGGGAGCATCACCCCGTGGCCTGGCCATGAGCCCAAATCCCCACTGCTGGGTTTTGCAGCGGAGATGCTGCACCAGGACGTCCTCCCCAACCCCCCCTGCGAGGCTCAATTAAAGCAGCGCTGCGGAAACTTTGCAGCTTCTGGAGCTGGGAAGGGACTGGGGCTGCAGGTTTGTGGGGGCAGCCATCCCACTGAGCTGCACAGACACCTCACTCATCCACTGCCCCGCTATCCCAGCTTCCCAGTGAGGAATTATGGCCTCAAGTTGGATTTTTGTGCTGCTCAGTGACATTCGTCTCCCTTTGCCACCACTGGAAACCACCTGGGCTCTCCCCAGCCCAGGAGAAATTAATGCTTTTGAGCAATGTTTGATCCCTGTTCCCGGGCTGTGCCTGTGCCAGGTGGAGCCAGGGATGGGAGCGGTGTGAGCTCAGAAGCAGTTTCCCAATTCCAGGCCACCCAGCGACACCCCAAGTGTCGGTAACGCCACCAGCACCAGCGAAGGTGCTGGAGGCGGGCGCAGGGGACGCGGGGAGGTGGGTGCTGCCGTTGTCCTGTCGCCTCCCACTTCTTCTTGCAGAAAGTGGGAAAACACCCGGAGGAGCAGAGAGAAGAGGAGAAAATAGCCCACTGGGGGCAAGGAGGCACCAGGAATAGAGAGGGGTGGCCTCGGGGGGGTGGTTCTGGAGCAGAGATCTGTGTAGGACAGGAGATGTGCGGGACCCAGGGCTTGGAGCGCTTCTCCTGATGCTCTGGGAGAGGGCAGGCAGCGCTCGCCCTGCTGCAGGCACTGGATGGGGAGGAAGCACAGAAAGCAATGTGAAAAAGAATCTACATCACTGCCTCTTTTCTGAGAGAGGGAAAAAAAAAATAGATCTCATGGTAATTGAGCACCTCCCTCCTGATTTGGGGGAAGGAGGGGAATCGGAACGTGCCTTTTTTCAGGCTCTGCTGGTTGCTGCTCCTGGCAGAGCCTCCCCCGCTCCCTGCTGCCTCGTTCGGGGACCGGGTCCGGGCACAGGAACCATGTGGACGGGGGAAGGAGAAGGAGACAGCGACTGATCACAGCCAGGATCTTAGATCAGAGAGAAGGAATGTTGTTGTGGAGAGGCTGAGCGCTGGGTGGGATGACTCATGCTGGAGAACATACAGCTGTTGGAGCGGGACTTGGCACCGCGCAATGAGGCTGCGGAGCCTTCCCCGACACAGAGGAGGGGAGGAGAGGAGCCCCCGCCCCGCATCCCTCTCTGACCCTCTGCTGGAGGTGAAGGGGAGGCCACCGCTGCCTGCCAGAATTGGGCCACAGCCCGGCTCTGCCCAGCCCCAGCACCGGTCTCAAGGCAGAGCCCGGGGCTGGAGCCATGAGGACGCACCAGGCATGAAGGAGGCATCCCTCCCCCTTCCCTGTCAGTGGGGAAACTGAGGCACAGAGCGGGGACCTGATGGATTCCCCGCAGGCCAGCTGAGGAGGTTATAAAGGCTCGTGGTGGCTGTTGCTCGCTGCTGTACCCCTGGGCTGTGGCTGCGCCCGCCTTGCTCCGGGAAGAGGAAGAAAGTTTCATGGCTGGGAGCAGTCTCTGGAGGAGAAGCCGGACAGCCCTCTGCTCCTGGGCCAGGAGCTGGCATCTGTGGGGTGCAAGATTCTCAATCTGCCTGGTGCCCAGGAACCTGCAGAGCTCCTGGTGGTGATGCTGACAGCGGCTTCCCAGACGGGCACAGGGTTGCTGCAGGGGAATTGGGGAAGAGCCTGCTCTCCGCATCCACCAAAGTCCATGGACTCACATTACTGCGGAGGACATTTGGGGAAGGCATCAGGAGAACCACCAAGGCAGGGGGATGAGCCAGCGTCTCCCCAAAGTCCCTCCCAGACATAGTTTTGGCACACGCCTGGAAACAACCCATGCACCACATCCCCAGTGCGCGGGGACAAAAAACTTCAGAGTCAGCTTCAGAGGTGGCCCCGTTTTGGCAGGGAGGGAAGTGGCTGTAAACACAAACAGGCCGTGATTAATCGTGCTCTGCTCCCGGTAGATGTGGAGTCACTACCTTCATGTCCCTGGAAAAGTAATTATCTCCAGTTTGTCAATGGGAACTTGGAGAAACCTGAAGCTCTGGAAATGCCGTCCGGTTCCACGTACAAGAAAACCTGCATATTTTTGTAGGTTAATAAAAGGTAACCAATTTTACAAAATGAGTAGATTTAATACATTACCAAGGCTTGAAGGGTAAACGACTTATCTTCCTGGGGATTTATAATCCTGTTTTGCAGACTTTGCCTTATGCTGTATTTTATTCTCACGTCCAGCGGTACCAGCGCAGGAGACAAGGTGGAGAGCACGGCATTCCTGCTCTGATTTATGGGCTCCCTCCTCCACTGCCATGTAAAGCAATCCTTCCCCGCAAGACCGGGCCCACAGGTCGCAGAGCTCCATCCCGCTCACAATTTCGGGCATTATTCCTTCCTCCAGATAACCAAACAGAAACCTCTTCCAGTCGAGGGGAACATCAGGGCAGTAACTTGGGGCCAAAAGGCGAAGTTTTGTGCAACAAGAGGGCCACAAAAACACAGCCGTGCGAGCACGCCTGGCAGAAAATATTTCTGAAGGAGAACATTTACATTCCTGGAGTCCCAGCGTGGGGGGACCAGGGGGCTCAGCAGCACCTCAACATTTCGCTCCCAGCTCTGGCACTGCAGCGTCAGCACGAGCTGGGGAAGGAAATCTGCACCGGGGCTGTTCCTAATTGCACCCGGTGCCTGCGGAAGGCAGGACTCGCACTGCACATCATCCCCCTGCAGAAGGAAGCAGGAAAAGGCGAGTGCCAGCGCTCGCTCCTGGTGTGAACGTCCCCGTGTGCTGCCCGGGGGGGTCAGCACCCTGGTTTGGAGCAGCCAGCGATGCTCAGGAGAGGGGGCTTTGCTCTGGAGGCACGCATCCGCCTGTCGCTTCGGATGCTTGCTCACACCAGGGATCAAGAGACAGCTCGTGATGGAGGAGAAATTATCTAGAAAGAATTATCCCAAAATGCACCAAGTGCCTTCCCATCCCAAAGGGCTCGGCAGAGCGGCTGGAGGTTTCTCAGAAGTGCCGTCAAACTTCTCAGCACGAACTCATCAGTGTTTTTGGTTTGGCATTTAGGTTCTGCTCTAAATTGCCCAGCATTAGTGCTTGCTAATGTTGAAGTAACAAAAATAAAAGCCGAAGTGAAGTGCTTCAGCTAAAGCTGGGATGGAATATTTCACAGAAACGCAATATTCGGAGATTGCCTTTTCATTTCGAAATGAGCCGTAACAGTTCCAGCTCCACACGGCCCTTGTGGGAAGACAAATCTCATTTCCATCCACCTCTTCCTCCTTCCTCAGGCACCGCGGGGGCCGGCCTCGATCCCTGCTTCGTGGGCAGCTGCTGGAGGTGGAGGACGTGGCGATGCCCTGGGCGATGCTGCTGCAGGAGCCCCGGATGTGGCAGCACTCGGGCTGGGCAGAGCACGCTAGTGAAGGATGCTGCCCTGAGCCCCGGCCATCCCGCAGACCCGTCCTGGCTGGGACGTGCCCAGGAGACCCCAAAATCATCCAGTGCAATGGCCACAGCCTTCTCCTGTATGTTCTGGCTAGTTATCGTGGGTAGGTTGGAGCAGGAGGCCCCAAGCTGCATCCCAGCACTAACAATACCTTTATCTCGCCCCAGCAGCCACGTCTCGGCATCTTCCAAGCATCACTACATCTACCCACCCCCCTGCCTCAAATAACAGCCCAGGGCACAGGCAGGGAGCTGAGGCCCCAGGAAGGAGCAGGACTTGGGTAACTTCACATGGAAAAGGAGCTGAGCTGACCCCGAGGCTCAGACACGAAGCTGTTGTGATTTGGGATATCTGCACCCCACAGCTCCGTCCCTGTGCTGAGTGAGAAGACCGAGAGGAAGAGGAGAGGGGACGTTTGCTGGCATCCTTCCCTGCTGCAAAGGTCGGGCGGTGAGGATGGAAATCCGGCACTCCAGCTGCTTCCAGGACGTTATTTGGGCTCCGGCATCTCACTGAGCTTGACCTCAGCAGCAGAAGCCGGGCAGGGACAGGAGCAGAGCAACCCGAGCTATTAAAGCTAATGGGTGGGAAGTGGCCATGAATAAATCAGCAGCAACTTAGCAGCTATCAAAGCCTGAAATCCTCCAGGACAGAGGGTGAAGCAGCGGCGATTTCAAGATGTTATACGCTTGGTTTTGGATAGGGGCTTTCGAAGCTGTTACCTACAAACCCAGAAACCTTGTCTGTGTGCGCCCTGGGGCACCGTGGTTGGGGCAGGAATTTGGGGGCTGGATCCACGCAGGGGTTTGGTGCTCACCCCATCCTTCCAGCATCGCATTTGCCAACTGCAGCAGCTTCCAAGCATGGAGCAGGGAGAGAAGACACGGGGAGGAAAACCTCCCATTAAAGCGAGACGTCCTTCTACCTCAAACCACCCAGACTGGCCTCGGTAATCCCAAATCCTGGGTATTAGGCATTTAATCTTGCATTTCATCGTGTCCCCTCGTGCCAGGGGTCTGAAATTAAAAGGGAAGCGGGGAAGGGCTGAGCTTCTGCTGGATTAATCGGTTCTTGCTCGTGGATGACAAGGCAGGAGGGAGGAGAAGGCGGCAGTTCCCTTTTCCCCGGTGCTCCCAGCAGCGAGAGCTGTCGCAGGAGAGGGGGACGAGCGGCAGCATCAGGGGAGGGAAGGGAAAAGCCACCCTAGGGCAAGGAGGAAGCGGAGCTGTGGCTCAGCGAGCGGCTGCGTGGAGCCGTGCCAGGGGCCCCGGCCGGAGGCCGAGCTTTTGTTTCCATGATGCAAGCTGGGGAGAGGGGCCGAGGCAGGACCAGGAATCATTCGGGGCTTTGGTGTCTTTGCTGCCTCTGCCTGCCCTGCAGGAAAGCTGGGGCAGCTCTGCTGGATGGATGCTGAGCACTGGAAGTGGCTGTGGGAGGAACTGGGGATGGAGACAGAGCGGGGGAAGCATCCGAGCCCCCTCCCCAGGGCCAGGCAGCCCCTGGTCCCTGTCCCTGCTGCTGAAAACCCCGTGCCCTTGCCTTTCCCCTGTGCCCCTGCAGTGCTGTGCGATGTCCCACGTACAGCCTGATGTGAGGGGATCCCCTGTGGCTTGAGAGCAGGGGGACCCCCCTGCCTGGCCCCAGGAAGAGAAAATCACAGCTTGGGGCAGTCCCGTGGTGCAGAGTAGGGGGTGCTGAGTGCTGGGGCAGCACCCAATGCTAGGTGACACTGCTGGGTGCCAGCAGCACAGTGCCCAGTGCAGGTCCCAGCCCCACTCTGCTGCTGCCCCATGGGACCCACATATTGCCCCTGGGATGAAAACCCCTCGATTCTCCCCTGCTCCCTCCCAGCCTGCTGCCCTGGCTCTGCACCCCTGGGTTTTGCTCCAGCACCGCCGTGCAGATCCAGCCCCTCTTGCTACTCAGCGCTGGGTTCTCGTGATGCCCATCACAGACAGAGCTGCTCTGACTAATAAATGCACTTGTTTAATTATTGTTGGCAGAATGAAGAGCTTTTAATTGCACTCTCCCACCACAGGGTGTAACAAGGGGCTGTGCTTTGACCTCAGCTGAAATATCTGTTAGTAACAGGTACGTGCCCTCAATACGCTGATTTCTAAATAAAACCAGGCAGATCCACAGCTGAAGGGACACAAGGCAAAGCCTGAGTCTAGAAACTGCAGTCAAGCTTTTTCCTCCTATTAAACTTCACCTTCACCCATATTTACCAAGAAAAGGCACAACACAGGAGCCTCAGCGTGTGCAGCTGCTGGGGAAGGTCCCCGGGATGCTGCAGGACCTCAGCACTGCCAGCCCGCGGGAGCTCGCTCTGCTGCGTGTCATTACAGAGAAGATGGATTTTGGAAGAGCTGCACGCACTTAAAGAATAATGCAACCTGCCAGGCACTTAACGCAGCCCAGATAAATGGAAGCAACAGCGAGAGCTTACCCAGGTAAAACTGCCAGAGCAAGGGGGCTCTGGGGACAGGAGGGGGTTTGCAGAGAGGAGCTGGAAGAGGCTCCTGGCTCTCGGCAGCCCAGGTGTGCCAGGAGATGCCCATTTATCTTGCACGCTGGAGAAATGATGGAAAAAGTGGAAATTCAGAATTTAGCAAGGCCACGGGTTAGGTACGGACATGTAACAGATACACAAGAAGCGAAGACGTCCTGCTGCTCCCTGCCCCATGCTGAGCACTGGAAGATGGGGCAAAAAAAAGGAGGAGTCAAGAAAGTTTTGTGGAATGGCATCAGCTACACGCACACTGCACAAATCTCCCCAGCCAGCAGCTCTGCAGCGTCCCAGGGAGAAGGTGCCCACACACAGGAACAATGAACGCTTTGCAGCTTAAACCTATTGTGAGAAGGAAGCTCTGCCTGCTCCCTGCGAGCCCAGCCAAGGCTCGCTGCTCCACATGGCAATCATTACTGCGTGCGGCAACGGCACAGCGTGCACTGTGCACACACAGAAAACACACACAGTGCACACACAATGCTCACACACACACACAGTGCACACACACCCAGCCATGCATGCAGGAGCAAGCAGCTCACAACATTCCTGCAGTGCCTGCACAGAGCTCTCCCAGCCCAACGCAAGCGTGGCCTCACCGCAGCCCATAATAAAGCGCAGAAACAACCCCAATTTCCAGAATTGTGGCACTTTCCCAGCTCCCTGTCCCTCCTGAGCTCCTGGAGATGCCCTGGGCCTCACCCTGCCGCCCCACACAGAGCAGCATCTCTGCTCGCCCTGGGTGCAGCGGCGGTGCTGCCAGGCAGTGCGTGCCGGCGGGGTTTGGTTTGTCCTCCCAGCGCGGCCAGGAGCACTGTTTGCAATTAAGGCAGCCCTGCCGTTCCCATTGTGAGGCCTCGCTCTCATCGCTGGACCTCAGCGAGCTTCAAAGCCCTCGGCTGAGGTTTCTGGTGCCAGGCGAGTTTTCCCCTTTCTGGGAAAATGCAGCAGCAATGAGGGGCTGGATGCGTGCACAGACGTCCGGGAGGTGGAATAGCACCAGTTACTGCGTTTCGCCAAGTTTTACCCCAAAACCACCCAGCCTCGTGTGATCCACGCGTGCACACACGCACGGACAGCTCGAACCTGGCACACTCGGAGTCCTGAGGTGGCGGCAGCCAAACGGCCTTCAGCATAAAGGCACTGACAAGCGTGACAAATGCTGGCAGTAATCCCTCTGGAGAGGATTACACCGCGCGGATCCTGGGAATGGAGATGTTTTATGGCCACCTGAACACCGGGCAGGGGGCAGGCCCCAGCGGGGCCCCGGATGGGCCAAGAAACCCATTGGGAACAACCAGAAACTCGGGGGGTTCATGGGAGCAAAAGGGATAACTTTAACCTCAGCAACCTGACACTGCTTCCCCCAAGCAAGTTTTCAATTAAGAACTGGCTAACGGAAAATCCTGTGATAATTATGTCAGCGTTGTGGTGGTATGGAAAGCCCCATAATGAGATTAGGTACGCGCCAGGACGCTCCGCAGCAGCACGGCCTTGAGCACAGCTCACCGGGCCCCTCTGCACCCCTGGGAAGTATTTTGGGGCTCAGGAGCCCTCCCAAATGCCCTCATGGGGTGGGTGAGCATGAAGATTTTTCCCCACCTTAAGCCAGGGCTGGAGGGAATTAAACGCAGGTCTCTGGCCGCAGCCCCCCGAGGAGGCTCTCTCCAGACCTCCGATCGTTTTCAGCTTCGTGCTCTCCATCGGTGATTTTTCCTGGAGATATTTATGGCTCTTTCTGTGTTGATTTCCATGTCCCACTGAATATTGCATGTGCTATCGCTCCCCAAGGACCGATAGTCTGAAGAAAGCAGCTTCTTCGCAGGCTTTTCTGGAGCTGCTAAATGGCACCTCTTCCCTTCCCCAGCACGATTATATCTGCGCACTTACCACTGATTATATTTGCAGGCACATCGGAGTGTGATTATTAGCTGAAACCTGTCAAGGAGTCAGTCGGAGTGGTAAGAGCATCTCTGGGGGCCGCCGTGGAAAAACAAAAGCAGCCTCCTCCTGCTGATGGGGGCATGTGCCTGGGGCCCTTTGTCCCCATCCTCTGTGAGCAGGGGAGATCTTGACCAGACACAAGCAGCTGGAAGCAAGGATGAGAAGCTAAAAAGAGGGCAAAAAAGTCAAGAAATGGCAAGCAGAGGAGATACGTGGGCCCAAAGGGAAGGTGGGGAATCAGTGAGAGCAATTCCTGGGAAGAGATGCTCCAGTACCAAGAGAGAAATCCACCTCTAAGAGCTGCTTTCCTCAAAGTGCTGCTTCATCTTACCAAGCGATGTGAAATTTGGGATGATTTTCTGCTGAAGAAATAAATGAATAGGCTCATGAACGCTGGATTTCTCCCAGGGCAGCAGTGCAAGCTCTTCTGGCATCTAAACGCTGCAAAATGGGCTCCCTCCCACCCCGGAGTGGTCCAGGGGGAACGGCCGTTCTGATTAGCAAAGATTTCTGACACCACATTAAGCTGAAAACTTGGATCAGGTCTCCCAGTGGCTGTGCCGAGATGAAAAACAAGGAAAAAAAAAAAAAAAAAAAAGGAGGTGCCATGCGGGAGAGGAACTCACTCACCCTGCTAACAGGCGCTGGAGCAATTACACACCCGGCTCTAATAGGCATGAAAATAATTAACACTCTGCCGAAGGCTCAAGTAGTGATTTTATGAGTCCTGCTGAACCTGAGCTCCCAGCGGGGTATTAGCGTAGGGTTTTGTTTTATTTTTTTTTCATCCTTTTGGGGCTGTTTTATGACCTCACGTGCAGCTGTTGGTTTTTTGCCTCTCTCCACGTAGGCTGAGCAGCAGCAGGCGAGACGGCGAGGAAACAGCTCTGGGACGGCCCCGGCCCCTCCAGCTGCTGAATTTCCCATCCGATGGTTTCCTAAATTCAGCCAGCACCTGCTCAACACTGCACGGAGCCTTTCTGGGTTAATTACACTCTGAGGTCCTGCACAGCCAGGCCTAAGGAAGGAGGAGATGGGAGAAAAACCTCGCGGTGTTATTACGGTGACACATGGTGCTGCTGGAAGCATCCCGTGTACCCCCCGTGTACCTTGCCGGGGGGGATTCACCACACCCAAAGGGCAGGCAGAGATCCTCTGGGACCCCCGAGAGTTAAGGGGAAAGTCAGTGCTTCCACAGGTCTGACCCCAAGGTGGCTGTGTAAGAGAAGGGGGCATCACCCCTTTCCACTGATGCTTTGTTTTTTTCTCCCCTGTGGCACAGGAGCTGAGATGCCCAAGACAAAAGGTCCTCCTGACATCGCCCTGTGCCTCTCTGGATCACATAAACCCACCCTGTTTGTTTCCTTCTGCCTTTTGTGACCCAGGGAGATGGGATGGAGGCAGGCAGGCTCAGGCTGTTGCTCTCGTCCTTTGCCTGGAGCAGAGCAGCCGATGCCCCCCTTGCAGCCAGGTCTCACCTGCACCCATGCGGGTGATGCTCAGCACCCCTGCGGAGCCTCCCACGAGGTGAGAGTCCTGCTCGAGGGCGGCCAGCAGCCATCTGTGGGGTGTTTTTCCATTTACACCCCTGCTTTACCTCTTGAATCTGGGCAGGAGCACCTCAGGATGGCCCAAAGCATTTTGGCTGCTGCCCGGGAGAAGGACGGCACAGAGGGGGTGACGGGAGGTAAAACCTTTTTATTCCATTATTCGCCGAGCATCTCTGCCACAGCAGGCCTTACCCCGCGGGATCAACAGAAGGCTTTGTTTTCCTTACCCCTTCCAGTAATTCATCAATTTTACTGCTCAACAAAGCCACCTCTTTGAAGGGAGGTCTCCTGCTCTAAACCCTGGTTCGGCGGAAGCAGGGGATGATCCTAACCAGACGCGGCTGCTTGAAGGGCTGCAGATGCTACCGCGCTGCCTCTGGAAGATGAAAGGAGAACTCCCCGCGCTGCATCTCGCTCCCTGCAAACACCGGGGACCGCCTTCCACCAGCCAGAAGGACTTGAACACCTCCACCCAGATCTTTTAATCCCTGAGGCTTGTGCAGAAGCAGCGTGTCCACCTCACCTGGGTGCTGGAGGGCTCCAAGGAGGGGGTGGCAGCGCCTGCAGAAGCCCCAGCTTCTCACCGCAGGCTCTGTGATAACCACGGCACCTCCAGATTTCAAGATACCAGCACGCTACACTCCTCCTGGTTATCGCTCCAAGCCCTTCTCAGATGCACGTGGTCCTTTCCTTACAGCTTTGGGGCCAAACCCCCCGTTTTTCTCCCACCCCAAAGCCGACTCCGTGGCTCTGCAGCCAGCAGCTCTGCATTTGAATTTATGAAGATTTTCCATTTGTGGTGGATGTGGAGCTGCGCTGCCAGCTGGAAGCACGATGGCAAGGCGAAATGGTGCTATCTGCTGCATCACTCTGGATGTTTAATGTAATTTGATTGTAAGTAGATGTAAACAAGCACTGGCTTTAGGGCAGGAGGAAAGCTTCAGCTGCTCCGCTGCGGAGATAACTCCGTGCAAGATTTAAAAAAAGGGGTCTGCTTCCTGCCCTGCTTGCATAAAGCCTTCATGCACATTTTATAAGAGAAGCTGCCTGGATATAAAAAAATAAAAATAAATAGGAAAAAAAAAAAAAAAGAAAAGATTTACTCAGAAACTGGTAACACTGAACGTAACTACATTTGGAACCGAAGCCAAGAGGCTTTATTTACTTGCCGTGTGAATTATTCCTTCACCCACCTCCAGGTTCAGGAGGAGTTCAGGGCAGGTTTCTTCCAAGCAGGTCACCCGGCCCTGAGCTTGGTGCAGTCCCAGGGGAGCGGCGTGGGAGGCTGCGAGGGGCTCGGGGTCAGCTTATGGGGAGGAGGAGGGGGGAGCAGCTTCCTCGGGAAGTCCTTCGCAGGGCCACCAACGCCGGGGACCTTCCGTGATGCTGTTGCAGCGAGATGAGCAGCAGCAGCAGCACTCTCCCACTTGCTCCAAGCACATCACCGCTCGTTATTTATCCTCCCAGCCCAGCCCGCAGCCTCTAATTAGCATTAGGTGAGGCTTACGGGAGCACAAAGACCCCAGCAGGCATGGGTGGAAGAGAATCAAGTGTGGGCGAGGGGCAGAATTAACCGAGCACAGGATGAATTGACTGGCAGGGGAACGAGGGTCCCAGGGCAGCCGAGCTGAGGAGCAGGGAAAACCAGATGGAAAAGGGAAGAAAACCAACCCAGGCAGAAAGCAAAGCACGTGGAGAAGGGTCAGGAGAGTCCCCGGCAGGAACACACAGCTGCTGCATGGATCAGAGGTCCTGTCCCAGGGCGCAGGGACAAAAAGCAGCAGGGATGCCCATGCCACACTGCCCAACCACCTCCCCCTGCTCCCCAGGAGGAGCTGGGGCCACTCACAGCCCTGCTGAGCACCCCAGCCCTCTGCCCCAGTCCCATCGGGGGCCCAGCCTCGCGCTGCTGAGCTCCAACAACTCATTAGGTGAATTCTTCCTGCATGTGGTGCCCTGGCACGGTGCAAGCCAGAGGAAAAAGAAATCTGTTTCATGGGAAAAAAAAAAAAAAGAGTTTCAGCTGCTGTGCTGCTTCTGAAATGAAGATGCTTGGAAAGTTTTTTCACTGAAACCGGAGAGCAAGACCTTCCCCAGGCTGGGAAGAGGGGAATTTACATGCAAGCCTCTTCTCTGGCCATTTCCAATTCCACCCCTAAGAGAGATGAGTTCAAGACGGCGCAAGATGCATCCGGAGAGGCTCATTGAAGAGCTGTGTGGTCCCGCTCAGTAGCGCGGAGACATACCACAGCTTCCTGCGCTCCTGCCAGGGATAACAAAACCCAGAGCCGCATGCCCTGGGTACCTGAGCCCAGAGCGGAAAAGCTTGATTCAAGCTTTTTGGTGGTGCAGGAACATTTGGCATCATGCAGGTGGGGCAACTCCAAAAATAAGCGTTGCTGCAAAAGCCGTTTTCTGGCCCCAAAGAGCTCAGCACTGATGAACATGCCCAGGAACATCTGACTGACCCTGGTGCTGGAGCTGGTTTGGGAGACAAACCATGCTCCAAATCCCTCGTGTGATCACATTTTTGGGCAGGAGCTGCTCAGATTTGCCAGGGGCTGTTTTGTCGGGGGGTGTCGGAGCCCCCCACCAGCTCCTGGCTGTGGTGCTGGTTCCCTCTTTGCCCGAGTCCTCAGCGCCTTTCTCTGAGAAACAGCTGGAAAGCCTCCAGCAGCAAATGTGGCCGTCTCCAAAAGGGAAAAAATATCTTGCTTACATTAACAGTGTCTGGGTGGTGAATAATGCACAGAGCACAAAGCGTCACGGGGCAATTCATTAGCCGAGGCTGCGCGTGGTAGCAAGGCTGGGAGAAAATATTAGGGGAAGTGCCAGGCAAGGCCAATAAATAGTGGAGCAAATGTGTCACTTGGGGAAGGAGCGGCAGCACAGCCCCAGGCCCCTCCAGCCACCAGGTTTGTCCTTTGCACCTTTTTCTTTTCCTCCCAAAGGCAGGATTTGTCCAGCAGCTCGCACATGAGCACGGAGGGGACACAATTCCCCCTCCTCGCTGGGCTTTGGTGCAGCGATGCTTGGTTTTACAGCTCCTGGGCTCGAGAGCTTTACAGCGGCCAAATGAGAAACGTGCAGGGGGAACTGGAGCAGGGAACCTGCCTGGGGGCCCTGGAGGAGCAGGATCCATCCTGCACAGATGAGGATGTGAGAGCTGGTGCCCAGCACACGCCTCCTTTTACACCGCCGGGTACCAGCAGGTTAATTGAGCACTGCTAAAATGCTGATTAACTCCTCAACCCCGCTGCGAAAACCCAATGAAAACTGGTGTTTAAAAGCACTTAGGAGGTGAAGGGGCTCGGCTTCTTCTTCACCTAACCCCGGCTGCTCCCTGCCCTGCTGAGCATCGGGGGGACGTGGGCACCTCCTTCACCAGAGCGACCCCATTGCAGCCCCCAGGTTCCCCCAGAGCAGATCTGGGCACGTTTCCCATGCAGGGCAGGCAGCATCTCAAAGCAACAGGGCCGGCCACTCAGCACAAGTTTTCCCCTTGGAATTAATGTCATTTACACCCAAAAGCAACAGCCCCTAGCCTCAATCCGCTGCTGCCATCGCTCTGAAGGCGCCCGCTCTGCATCTCCCCACCCCGCCGGGAGCAGAGCCCAGCCCAGCAGGGATGGGTGCTCAGCCTCCAAAACGTGCAGCCAAGGCAAACAGCCCCCGGCAGCCACTGCATCGCAGCCCCGGGAGATGTTACGGGAGGGAAGGAGGAGGGGAAGCCACCGCCGCTCTCTGAAGGCTGCGGTGTCAGACAAGGACACAGCTCAGGGCACGAATCCTCTAGGAAAAGAGGCCGAGGGGAGGACCAGGGGCCGCGTGCTGCACGGGGTTGAGGTCAGGAGGATGCTCGTTTTCCCCGGTGCTGGCTCCATCCCCTCAGCCACATTTTGCCCCTTTGGAAGTTTTCACAGCAGCACGACAAGAACCGAGCTGCTCAGAGGGGACCCCACAGCGATGTGCAGCACTAAGATCACACAACAAGGGTTCGGTGGGTGCTGGGGGTAGGCAGCACAAAGTTTGGCTCCAGTAGCTTGAGCCAGCCCAAAGCTGCACAATGCCAGGCAGTCCCGGTGAACCCAACTCACAGGAGATGGATGTTTGGCAAAAGGATGATGCAAAGAGGTGATGCGAGTGGCACAGCCCTTCCACCACGGCTTTGCCTTCCACCTAAACCAAGCAGACCCCTTAAAACCTTTGTGTGGGGGCTCAACCCCCCTGGGCAGCGTGCAGGAGCCCCAGCACAAGCAAAAACCCAAGGAGCGTGGTGAGGGCTGGGCTGGCCGCAGACGCTGGCATCCAGAAGGCAAAAAAATAAATGACAGGTTTGGCCTGCCCGCGGAGAAATGTGGCTCAGAACAAAAAATTCCCTGACTGCTTGAGCAGAATAATCTGCAAATGTAATCAGCCATTTGGGTGATTAATGCACCCTGCTCTGTTAAGACTTCTCTATCAAAATCTCAGTTAAAAAAAAAAATCCTTTCGGCTTCCACGGAGAAACTCAGATATCAAAAGTGCAACGGCAGAGAGGAGCACACATCCCAGCAGGACCCCAAGGGAACGAACGGAGCAAGCAGAAGCAAAATTCGATGTTATCGAGCATGCAACAAGCATCCAGGCTCACCAGGCTGGGAATCTGATCACGGTAACAAAAGCAAACAAGCCAGGGTTTAAATAGAAGCAAAAACCTTGGAAGGGAAAACCAGCGAGAGCAAATGTTTACCCTGATGATGGGATAGTTTAGAAATTATGGCCAGAGGCCAGCTCGCCAATATTTTTAGTTTTGAGAGGTCTGCTAATCTCAGCCTGCTAACAAGCCAGCCCATACCCTCGCCCCTTTGCTCCTGGCTCAGCTCAGCACCGCAGGAACCGCTCCCGTGTTTTGGCTGGATGAAGGCTTCCACCTCAAAACAGAAACAAATGCCCAGGTGAGTTCACTAAAATCCTTCTGAGATGCCCGGACAGCAAGGAAGACGCTCAACAGCGCCTCAAGAAAGGTGAAACAGGCACAAAGAACCCAAAACACCGAGGTTTAACATTGATTCGTGCTGATAGCAAGTTCTTGCTAATTTTAGTTAAGCACACCGATTTGGAAGCTGCTTTAGGCCAGCATAGTCCTGGGGGGGTTGCAATAGAAAAGCACGAGGGATTAAAATATTGTCAGCAGCACAGGAAGGAATTTGGGGGATTAGGCACAGCCTCAGCTGCGATACCGGCCGAAGTCGATGCTGTCCTGTGTACAAATCAAGGAGAGTACAAACACAGGGCTTTGCTCTGGATGATTAAAGAGATGATAGATGCAAACTCTCCCTGTATTTTGATTCTCAGGTTTATGGGGAGGAAAACAAGGGCTAAAAGCAAGGTCCCTGCAATGCCCAACCCACCCTGGGGCCTGCCCAGCAGGGCGGCGAGCTGGGGTCGGCCCCACGCTTGGAAAGAACCAGACGGGTCTGAATTTATATTAATTTTATTCACATTTCCAGAAGAAAGCATTGGTGGAGTGCAACATCATGGCTAGTGTCAAAAAGCTCAAGTATTTGTTTGGTTTAAAACAGGCAAACATTTCAGAGGTTGAACAGAGACAACGCGCACCCTCCCTTCCCCTGTGCATGTTTCCAGTTCAAGTAATAGGAATTTCAAAAATAAGCTAGCTCATCACATGGCGGGGAGAATGTCAGAAACTTTAAAGCTTTCTGTGGTATAAATCCCTAAGCAGGGCATGAAAGTAGCAGGCAGGAAATCTTCTACAGCTGAACTAGCTTATCCCCTGGGCTGAGTTTTTTCTCTTTTTTTTTTTTTTCCTTTGGTTGTAGAATTTTGCTCTCAGTGTTGCCGAACGCTTCTGTCCGACGTTAATGCGATTCATTACCCAGAGCGGAAATTTGCTGCTCCTGGATTACAAGGACGATCATTTGCGGTGGCACAGAAAAACTTTAACAGTAGAGTTAACAGTAGAGGAGAAAAGAAAAAAGGAGAACCGTTCGATCGCTTTGGATTTCCAAAACACATTCAGGAGTAAGAGCCACCCTAGCCGAGAAGGGAGCCTTCGCAGCTGTGCTGCTGGTCCCCACGAAGCTGTCCCAGCTCCGTGTGGCTTTCAAGTCATTTATTTCTGGGCCAACAGCCGGTTTCTGTTGATGCTCAGTAGACTATGAAAGCCTCCTAAACCAGGTGGCACTAACCAGTTGCAGCTTTTGTTCGACACAGAGCCCCTACTTTTGGCTTTCTGCTTCAAAGTGCATGTTTCAAATTAGACAACAAGGCATTAGGACAATCAAAGGCATCTGCAGAGCCCTCGCCTAGACACAGGCCATGACCAGGACTGGGAAAAGGCAGAGCTGAGGCTGCAAAAGCAGGATCAAGCCCTCAAGCTGCCCACAAAAGCAGGGCTCCCTGCTGCAGGCAAGGTGGCATCGGCCAGCAGTGAATTCCTAAGTCAAGGAGCAAAGCTGAGGCTAAAAGATGAGTTGTTTTCACTTAGTCTTGTAAATATTAGGGAATTTTAAACACGTCCAGCGAGGACAGGAAATCTTTTTGCCCTTGCAGTACCGTGAAGTTGTCTGATTTTATTAGAATATAGCTATATTTGGAAAAAGAATCAGTAATAGATGTGTGCACATTCTTGCTTGCTCTGCAAAGACAATTACTGGATTACAAAAAAAGGCACAAGAAGCACATTCCTCCTTCTTCTATCCCTAAAAGGGTTCCTCCTTCCTCCCTGCTGAAAGCACTACCACTGCTGTCACTGAATAAACTCCAAGCACACATTTCCATCTGATCCAGCTGGCTTGGAAGCCCCTAGGATTAAAGATCTCTCTTCTGTTTGAGTAATTTCAGCGACGAGAATCTTATTGCTTGTTGCACCAATTCTCTTCATCCTCTATCTATATATAGCAAGAGATGAAATAATATCACATTTTGTTTTATTGCTGGAGGCAGTCTGCCGTCCCCCAGGGCAGTTTCCCAAAGGAAGGAGGTAAAACAGAAGATTTGGCAGGACCTGCTTCCTGAGACAAGAACAAGGTAGCGCTGTGCTCACCCCACCTGGCTGGCTGTCACGGCAGGGAAACTGGAGCAAAGAAGGGCTCAGGGTTATTGAGCAAGGGGTGGAGAGCCAGGAACAAAACAGTCCAGCCACTGACCCTCTGCTCCAGTTGTCATGAACGGATTTTGCTGTGCTTGGAAGGCGAGCTGTGTCACAGCCCAGGACGTGCCGATCCCAAGTGAAGCCTTTACACAGACTTGGGTGCACAGAGTGGGAAAAAGGAACGTGACTCTTTGGTGAAAATCCTGGCTGTCATACCATAAATTCATTTTAATAAATTAAGTTTGTATCTCTAGTCCTACTACTGCATTAAATCACTATACTCTCCTGCAGTTGCCTGGCTGCTATTCAAGGTTTCAGCGATTAAATATCCCCCCACCCTTATGTCTTCTCTGTGGAAGGCTTAAAATCCTTAACACCTTACACAAAAATAGAAAGCAATAAGACCAATAGCTCTACACATTAACCCAGGACTGAATGCTTTCAGCAGCGTGGATTCTGCTCTATTGATAAATGTAAGAAAAGTCACCAGGACCTTCGCAGAAGCTTCAAGGCTGGACAAAGGACACAGAGTGATTAAAGACAGAAAACCAAGTGCGTTCCCTGTGCCATCACACAGTCACAAAGGGTGTGCCCTGAGAAATTCGTGCAGCCCTGGGCTGTGATGGCATGCCTGCCTTCGGCAGCACAGTGCAAGCACTCTTCCAGTGCTCAGGAGGATTTGCTCACTCGCTCACAGCCTGGCAGCTTCGAATGAAGAGGTGGAAAGTTTTACCTAGCTGTGATGGTTCTTGCTGAACTCCAGAAGAGACAGAGGAAGTCAGAAGCCAGCATGCTGCCAGCTGCAACGGGAAATGCTGAGCAGGGCCCCGGCAGGGCTCCCCGCTTCCCACTGGAAGAAAATGGCTTTGGAAATAACGGCATGGAAATCCCCCATCCAAGGCATTGCAGTCCCTGCTGCATGTTCCTAAAGCTGTGCTTTGGCTTCCAGCAGAGCAAGGAACACCAGTGCTCTTCTGGCAGGAAAGCACACAGGCTGCCACCTGCACACACAGGAACACAGCCACAAGCTTTGCTGATCTGTGCCAGCGAGGAAGCAATCTCTTTTGAGAAGTAATTCCTACCTTGCTTTGCTGTTCAAACCCTGATCCCCCTTCAGTGAAACCTGCCCACGTGTTCTTCCTTCCTGCCTCGCCACTGAAGATGCAGAGGAGTGAGTGCCCTGCTACTACAGCACACAGCTCACCGGCACAACAGATCGATGTCCACCTGGAGGCCGAAAATGCTAAAGCACTAAGCGTTCATGGGGTTTGGATTGTTTGAAAATAAAAGCAAATTGCTTCTAGGAAACTTGCTTGCATCTGTACACGTAACACTGCCCACTGGTGGGTTTTTAGTTCCTAGCATTTGGCTGATAGTGAAGAGGGCTTGGATGAACCCATCAAATTCCCGAGTGCTCCTGATGGCATCATTTTGCCGTAAGATGTTCATGGTCCAGATAGCAGTTGCACAAAAGCACTGATGGGAGAAATAGAGCTAGAATATTTACCTTTGTCTCCTGTGGGAGATATCTGTATGAGAGAGCTTTGCCCACGCAAAGCCTATCCAAACAGGGCTTGCCTGTAACTGCCTGGTGGCATGAATGAGAAAGGTTTGCTTGTTAACAGAAACGATGTAAGCGACCACTGATGGAAGCTCTTTGCCCATGGTATGCTTCTGTTGTGGTGTGAGCAGCCCAGGAGGCAAGGGTATTAGAACAATATCAGCAGGAGAAACTGGAGTTTAAATCAGTCATGAAAAGGTCAGCTTTGGACCCACAGCACTGCTCTGAAGGACACCTTTTTCCTATTTTCTTACTCTCTTCTCAGAGTTTTTATACATATATATACATATTAAACATGCTGGTGATAACTCAGTCTCTCTTTCAGGCACTATCATCGGACACAGAATTCATTTCACTTGTAACTTTCCTCTTACTATTGCAGCTCCACCAATGTTACCCTGGATTCCCCTTATAACCGGAGGTGTCTTCTAGATCTCAAAAGAGATTGATATATCAAAACCAAACTCAATTACAAAATATAATAATATCCTCTTCTTGGAAGTGAAGCTGCCCCATATTCCAGATTGCGGCAGGATTTTTATGTCCTCAAAATATTTTTTAATAAAGTTCTACTTAAAATATATCCAAGTCCAAGTTTGCCTCTTGGGCACGTTGTAATGCTCAGTGGAAGATCTGTTCCCTGTCAATTCCTCTTGGGCTCTGCCGAAGGGCTCTTCTTACTCTTCTTCTGCAGACTTGAGCATGAGAATGGCATTGTAGATCTTCAGGGCAGGCCCCAGTTTGATACCAAGTATTTTAACTATGTCGGTCTGGTTCAGGAGCAGAAAGGCTTCACCATCTATCTGCTAGAGGTGCAAAACACAACATCAGATAAAAATTACCATGAAGATACAGGCAGGGTTCTCACTTCTGCTTGTTCAGTTAAACAATGTACTTAGAACTGAGGAACGAAAGCACAAGCACAGCCCTGAAGTCTGAGACCTCATATTTCTCCCTAGTGTTGGCACCCACCCAGCCTGAAGTTCCCAGGCATGCTGCCCTTCCCAGGGGTCTCAGGCCTCAACCAAGAAGTCCGTCTTCTAGAAACAGAGAAGCCAAAGTGTGGGCAAAAATAACAAAGAGATGACGAGGAGGAGGCTCGTTCATTAGACTTTCTGTTCACTGTAAGGATACTTCTCTAAAAAGCCAACAACTGTCAAAAATCCTACTGCCTATTCATAATCTGTGGCCAGAAATTAGATCAGGAAATGCAAGTCTTCAGGAGGCAGCTATCCAAGAATTAATCTATTACACTGATCTGCAATGATTAGAAGTATAAAATCACCATTTCCTAGTGCATTCATTACATACTGTCATTGCACAGCTATTTGGATTCCTGCTGAGCTGTTCAGAGTAAAGTTTGAAGCTGATTTTTTTGGTCAGCTTTGCTAGAAACCTTACAGATGAGAAAAAAAACCCTTAGATGTGCACACCTGGCTGCTCTAAGAGCCAGTCCTCTGCCCACAACCAACCAGTCTCCATTTAAAGGAGTAAAAACAGGAGGCTGTTATGAAATAACTTTCAATGACACTAAATGCGCTTGTTCAGCACAAGGTAAAAGATGTGCTATATAAAACACGGCACAGTAAAGACCTGGAATATGTCTGGATTTATACACACACTCGCCTAATCTGTCAGCAAGGAGACATTCAATTAGATTCAAAGCAAGCGATCCAAAAACACACTACCTTGTGGAAGTAAGGGATGCTCTAGGTACCAGTGAGTAAAAACATATTAAGAAGAGGTTAAAAAATGTACTTGGGTTCATAAGGACATCCAGAGAGACAACAAAGATATAATTAACATAAACCCCAAGTGCTGCAGGGAGGAAGCCAAAGATTAATGGACACAGACAAACAATGCATGTGTCTCTAAGTTGTTCCATTAAAGTCCATTTACAGAGACCGACAGCCATCTCCTCCTCTCGCTTGATGTTCACCAGTCCAGCAGACACCACCAGACTCTCAGCTGATCCAGAATAACAATTCTTCTGTCCCTGCAGTCTTCCTAACTAGAATTCTTTTGAATGTCAACAACTGACGGAAGAGGATACATTCAATAAACTTGGACAAACATACAATTAAAGCAAAGAGCTGGGACATGGGAGATTTGGTTTCCTCCTCTCTGGCCACACAAGAGACTGCTAGCAAGTTACTTTTACCTCCCAGTACGTACACTGGAAATGACAGCAGGGCTCCCAGTCCACAGACAGCCACACAACCTCACTGAATATTATTTACAAGCTGCCTGGAGTCTACACTGCTGCAATGCCCATGTTAAAAATAGCTTGAAATGGATGGACTGCTGCTTAAATTAAATAGAAAGAGTCAAGAGCAGGAGAAAGCTGCTGGAAAAACAGTCCTGTGTTTCAAAATGTTTTTGAGTTCAGTATTATTATTACCGTGTTTCACTTTCACTGCATTGCCTCGAAGATGCTTATTTTAACCAGACCTTCCCTGAACCGGTCCTAGAAACAAGCGCCGTTATCACTGCCTGTGGTTTATTATTCATTTCTTTGTTCCATCTTATTTGGATGGTTTTTAAAATTCTGGGCACAATTTGTTCTCTTCATTCGTAACGTAAGCAGCAACTTATCCCTCTCCCCCCAGCCAAGAGAAGCCTGCAAGGGATTTATTTATCCTAAACTGAGAGCACTCAGAGGCCTGATTACAGCTAATGGACAACCCTGGTGGAGGCCAGCAGTCCTGTCACTCACACCTGAATTCTGGCCAAAGCCAAACTGCTAAAAGGGTTTTAATTTCAAACTGACAGTTCAGTTTGAGCAGAAACATGAAAAACAGTCCAAGCCCCTCTCGTTTGGCATAGCGAATCATACTTGGAGGTTGCAGAAAATCAGGTACTAAAATAGAACACGGCCAGGCTGCTCTCTGAACTAGAAAACAGCCACCTTGCTCAGGGCCCATTTAAATTATTACTAGAAGAAATGAAATAAATTGTGAATGGTTGGATTCATTACAAGACTTACATCTCACTTACCAAGCCCTCATTTCTGAGCACAACTTCACTAGAAATCAGGCTGCATCTTTTACACTCAGCTACACCGAAGGACTGGCTCAGTAGGATAAATTTCATTATTCCCACTATATTCAATTAAACAGCATTGCACTAGAACGTCACACTGCGAACGGTGCTTCTCGCAAGCCTCAATTTATTTTGCTTTTTATTTGGTGTGCGTGTGTGTTTTAAAATAAGGGAAAACAAAATACAGAGGCATAAATCCCATAAAATGCACTACGGCCTGATTCATCCTGAAAGGAAGCCAGCTCTGGGGAGCAGTCATCTATTAAAAACCTGCCCTTTACAGTCACTACAGCGTGCAGCGCGTCTCCTCGGTACAGAGGGTGTGCTCAGTGCCTTGCAGAATACAGAGAAGGCACAACCCCTCAAGCTCTTCCCATCAAAGCAGGAGAGCTGTGGTGACAGAAGGGAGGCACGGCTGTGCATATTAATCAGGGGCTCGCACAGAACCTCCGAGTTGTACCTGCATCGTAACTGGAAGCCAAAGCAATCAGCAGAGCCTGGGCATCGTACCATCAGTGACAGGACGTGCTAAGGAACAGGACAGCCGTATCCTGCGCTAGCTGCGGTTTCTGAGAAGCCACGGTGAAGGCACCACAAACAGGGCGCAGAGCCCAGAGCCCAGCCTGGCACGAGGCAGCAGTGACAGGACACGCCGCATGCAGGTGACGCTGACTTCCCAGCAACTGCTTTTCAAGGCAAGGACCTTCTCCTGCTCCCACCTCAGTCCTCAGGAGAAGCTCCTAAGACACCCTACGACTGCCAGCCTCACCAAGAGGAGTAGGCATATGTTCTCGTTAGAGGGAGCAGATGAGATCTTCGCTGCACCCTTCCAACAGGACATCTTTATAACGATGCCAGAAACACTATGCCATAGTCCAAGACAGGATGTTAAGCATAAGCTAAGTGATTGGAACTGGAGGGGAAATTTAAAGCAGCAGAATGCAATTAACCATGCTGGAATCGAGCTTGATGCCGAAGCTGCCTCCTAAATGCCACAGGCTCCTTAATGACAAGGCTGAGCATGTCTGTGCAGTCAGCCCCGTAACTCCGGAGCAGCAGGGGTATGGAGCAGACCCAGCAGTGTCACAGCACTGCATCTGGGAGTGCACATGGCAGGCTTGGCTTACCTCTTCCCTGAACACGGATGCTTGTTCTTTGCAACCAGGTAGACGCTGGATAAAGCTTGCCACCTATAATTAGATGTAGAAGAAGAGAACGTGAATAATTGAAATGGACATCAATTAAAAAGGCCTTACTTCTGTATGTGAGTTCTGTATGCAAGAATTTGTCAAACTTGAATACTTACCACTCTCCCATTGATGAAGGACATATATGAAAACATTACTGAGTTGTTGCTGCAACACAAATACTTTCCATACTGCCATTTGACCACTTCTCTTCCTTTAAGAGAGCAGTTTCTCCAATGCTCCAAGTGGTTCTTATAAAACATCATTATTATTTTTACAGATTAAGAAGCGTATATGGTTATGCACTATTTTAAACCCATCCCCAACTTTACTTCCTCTGTGGTATTATCAGAAAATACAATTACAAAGAGAAGGATATAGAGAATTTCCCACGATGAAAATCCTTTAAGAGAGAAGATAAACCAACTAAATGAGTACTCCTGGTTTACCAACACACAGGAGGCAGAAGAGCTATGAAAGAAAAGTGGGTTTTATTTAATCTGTGGTGGATGCAGGGGATCCATGGAACCAACAGCATTAAATAAGTTAATTTTGCATTCCATATTAGAGAAAAACCTTTCTAAGCAGGAAATGTGTTAACATTTGGAATAACCTCCTCTGAGACATGCAAGCAAGCCTTGGATTACATTATATAACACTAACTAGTGCAAGAAGCAATCCTGAATGCAGTGGAGGATGACTTAATAAGCATTGTCTTCTCCATCTGTAGCTTCACTGGTTCACAGAAGATTTGTATATTGAGGCATAATCAGATCAAACATCGCATGCTAATTGGATGCTCCCTTGCAGGAACAGCTCTGTTTCACGAGGCATATTCATTTGAGTTATTACAGATGTGACATTTCTTCCATAAACACAAACAGACAAACAGTTAGAAGGGTTTGCTGTCAAAGATGAGCTTCCCTTTAACTCACGATTGTCAGACTCTCTCCTAAATCACGTCGTTGCATCTCCAGCTGATCCCACCACTCGTGCTCATTCCCTTCCCCCAGTTCCGTCAGCAGGGAGCTATCAGCCTGCCCTCAGGCTCTGCTCCACCCTGGCAGAGCTGATTTTTGGTGAGCAGCTCTGACTCCGCTGCTTCTGTTACGCAATCTGCCAGCAGAGCCTTCCTCTCCTCTCACGTTTCACCATTACATGGTGCTAGGAGGGAAAGCTCCATTTTAAAGAGAACCTCTAAAATCCACAGCTCTAGCACGCAGTGACTCCCAAATCTTCTTCTGTAGAAGTGCAAACAAGTAACAAACTACTACTCTATTTCCTTTTGAACTCCTCTCCAACTTATAATGAAAAGAAACAAATGAAAATGCCTCTGCAGGGCAGCATCTTCCAGAATTTAAATGACAGTAGGACCCCTGGGGGCAAAACCCTTAGGGTCTGCTGCATGGAGAGGTTGGCAGAGATTTCAGGGGACTGCTCTGAGCTCACTTTGCTCTTCCCTCTCTTCTGTCCTTCCCTGGAGAATTGCTGCTGGCCACTGTCATGGTCAGGGTGATGGGGCTTTGATCTGTCCCAAAGTCACTTGTATGTACGCAGCAAGCACCCTGCTCCAGAGAGGCCTTTTAAACAAATAATGGTCCTGGGGGTTACCAGAAATGGAGAAAAGGAGGAAGGAGGAGGATGCAAGAGAAGAATACTGGAGGGATCATTGTCAGGGTGTTAGCCTGACCCTGGGTCCTGCAGAGCCAGGTGGCCTGCCTGGCCCGTGCCACTGCCAGAGAGGACAGTCCCCAAACTAAGGCACTGGGGAGAAAAGGGAGCAGCAGAAGCTCAGGACAGCAGCACCTCAGGCTGCAACAAACTTGTCTGAACCCCGACACAGCTGCACAATCACGGCAGGGCGCACAATTACCCAGGGAAAGGCGAGGCTGGGGAGGGCAGGAGATGTGTTGGATAGGTCCGGAGCACAGCGGGATCAGGCAGATCAGGGCCTTTCCTTTGAGGAGGTGAACTCCTGCCTGCCTTTCCTGCTGGTAATAACCTCACATCATAACCTCAGAGCTATCTGGTGGAAGTGTCTTACACTATGACTGCGTATCAGTGATGGTGGTGGGGAATTGTGCTGTGTAACTCTGAGAGCACTTAAATCTCCACGCAATGGGTGATAATGAGATCCCAGATATGATATATCACACTTGGCACAGTACTGGAATATCATTTAGGATATTTTAGGATAGGAGCTGGGCTTAACTCAGATGCAGTAACCCACAAGCAATTAGCACAGGGACAGTCCCCTCACAAGGTACTAGCATCTGATGAGGGATTAACTAATGAACAATTCAGCTCCAGCACATATTAATGTTCTCCTGTGATTCCATACCCTACACTAACTGTGCTTTGAAAACATGATAGGAAGCTTTCAATACATAACAAAGCTGCATTAAAGTAACTAATCTGGTTGAACTGTTCAGTGTTACCAAGGGTTTCCTAGCTTGAGGGTCCCTAAGTACTGCTGCTGCTCTGTCATTTCAGCTGTTCTCAACCAACAGAGAATTAAAGCAAGATTTTTTTTTTCCCTTAATGTGGGTTTTATAAAATAAAAACAGTTCTTGGGTCTGAAACCAAAGGAGAATTTTGCACTCCCATTGCTCTTGTTTCACATCAGCAGAATAGGCTCCTTTGTGCAGCAGAGTTCAAAGCACAACTCATAGGCGACTGTTTGCCCTGCAGGAAGATGTTAGAAGCCCAAACACCGACAGATCAAATCTACTTTGGACTCACTAAAACACAGAGAAGTCCTACTGCTTTCATCTTCCAGACCTTGCGGCTACATTGCCCTGCACATGCCGATCCTGCAAGTGCTCACACAAGGGCTAAATTAATTCCTACGGGAATCTGGGAGGAACAGGATTTGCAAAACCCCGATTCACTTTACCGAAATTCAAAACAAAACCTGTAAGGACTTTAGCCGGTCTGTTGTGGTGCTGCAGCTGATCTTTTTAATGTGCCATTCGCACTCCTACTGGTAGTCAGCGCATCGTTGGTAGTTTCAGGCAGTTCACTGTGTTCTGGATTGTGAATCACTGCACCACTACGCCCTGCATCGATGCCCTGTGGTCCCTACTTATATTCATCTGCTATCAAACTAATATCCCAGTTAAATTTACCCAGCAGTTGCTTTAAAGGTCAACTGTAAAGGACAAATTTTATTTGGCTTGTATCCTGTCTCTGCTCCTCCATGAAACAACCTCCATGTTTTGTCCAAAAGAAAGAGATTCTGAATGTTTTCATGTCAGCGAATTAGCTGCTCCTGCCTGTATTGATTTACTAAAAGACCTTTTGGAAAAAAAATAAAAAATCAGTGGAAGCTTTCTTAGAAGGATACAAATAGAAAATCTTTCAGAGAGATTTTTTTCCTCCTTGCTATGAATTTAATTCTAACTCATTTTCATTAAAACTTAAACGAAAAAAAGAAGAAAAAAATGGACAGTTTTTAAAGCAGCCACACTAATTGCTCTATTGCCTTCACATTTGCTGTGGTTCCCATCCCCTGTGATTCTGCAATCCCACCAGACTCCAACCAGTCCTCCAGCATGAAGAACAAAGTAAAGATTGGATTTATCTGACGTAAGAGGCACTTAGGGAAAATGCACTTTTTAAAAGTCTCTGAAGATCCTCTATGCATCATGAAGAATGGCACCTTTTCCTGCTTTGCAGATTACCTCCTTCCTTGCAAGCGCAACATTACAGCACATTTCTCTTCAATTAAATGGCCTGTGATTAAGCGCCAGGATCCAAATTGTCACCGCTTCCCGAGTGGAGATACAAATATTATTTATGCCCAAGGCATCAAGGCAAAAACCAACTACTCAGCACACAAAAGATACCAGCGTTTTCACATGCCTCCTAATTACACGAGACATCTCAAGCGCTGGGACTGCAGAGACATCTCCCCAGCTGCACAGCTACCTCTGTCAGAAATCAGGTCAGGCTGTGGGCAGTTTTGTTGCAGGGGAAACAGGCAGGGAGACGTGGGAGGAGTGGGTATGCACAGTGCAGTTTGGAATTATCTGCAACGTAAAAGTGAATAAGCAGGAAAGTCACAGGAGAGGGGGAGGGAGACCAGAGAGAAACAGAATCTGGTGTCAGAATCGTGTTTCAGGCCTGAGCACTGAAAGATCAAGGGGTAAATAAACAAAGAGAGTCTCATTCACTGAAATAACCCATGGGCACCAGAGAGTTAATAGGGATCTTTCCCCTCCATTTATAAAGGACTCAGGTACAACTTCTAGCTGAGTCAGCTCTGGCATATGCGAGGCAAATGGCAAAGCATTACCTAGGGACGCACAGAAAATAAAGATGTTTTCTAATCAGCACTCCATAAAAAGGAGGGCTCTGGCATTCCTGCAGCCGAGAGCGGAGCAGGTAGCAGGTAACTCACCTCTTCCACAGTCCATTTGGCCACGTGCTTGGCTGTGAGGCCCGAGACCTCTGGCAAGAGCTTGCAGTGCTGCTCCCAGCAGAGATGGAGGCGGTGGGTCGGGTTAGAGGTCAGGGAAGGCATGAAGATGGACTGGTGGAGGGCCTGCTGGAGATCGAAATCAGGGTCTGGAAAAGGAAACGAGACAAGTCAGAGCGAGTTTTCAAGTAGGAGCAATTACAACAAAAGAGGAAGGGTCACAGTCTGGAGGAAAAAGCAAGGCAGGACAAGCAGGCAGCCAGGCACTGCTATTGCAGGGCACACAGCTCTCAGGGCGTTCTCCCCCACCCTCCCAAGAAAAAGAAACCAAAAAAAGATAAGATAAGATAAGATTGCCAGGCTGGAGGCTTTATCGTTAGCTCGTTAGCTTCCTCCCAGGAAAATGATGTCACGCTGCTAACACAGAAGATGTTTGCAGCATTTTATTGACAAGGTGGAGGAGTTCTGGTAACAGCATCTTCAGCTGGAAACTAATGGCATCGTTCCAGCTCACAGCTGTAGCCAGCCTGCAAGGAGCATGCCAGCTGATGGCCTGGGCTCGCCGCCTCCCCAGGAGGCTCCCAGGCCAGGAGTGCTGCATGTTACCTCCAGACATCAGTTCCCTCCTCATGTGTCAAGTGATGGAGGCTTTAAAAAAAAAAAATCAAGGAGGAAGGGAAAAAAAAAAAAAGGGAGACAGAAGAAATCACCCCTCCCTAATGAGATCATTTGAGTAGTGCAGAGTCATGGTCCTACAGGGATTTGCCCGGTTATACAACAGGAAGTGAAGCAGAGGATGGAAACAGCATGGAAAGCATTCCTCTGCTTTACAAGGGGTACCGTGCCCCGTCCCCTCGCCCCCCAGCAGGCACGGTGCAGGCTGCCAGGCGCCATCCCGTGGCAGCAGGACCCACGTCCCGTTTTGCTGCTGTTTTCATAAACCTTCCCCAGCCACAGCACCGACAGGGCTGCTGCCTGCCTCAGATTTATTCAGTGTTACTGTGAGCAGCGTTTGCAGGACAGTGTGTGAGGACCTGTGGGGTGTGCCAGGTGCTGCTTGTAAAGCACAATGAAAGCAGTGCCATAGGGAACGTTTTGACAGGTTGCCTGCTCCTCACCAGCTGAGGTGAAAGAAGTGTTAGAGGCAAAGGTTTTTCCTCTGTCCCCTGCTGGGTCACCTCCCTTCATCGCCACCTCACTAAGGGATGCAGGACAGCATCAGATACGGGTCTCTATTTCTAATAACGAGACCAGAGTGGGGGAATTAAAACTTAAATAAATAAAGCCCATGAAAGAACTGCTCCTTAGTGCAGAAGCTGATGCTGCTGGTGATGACACAGCATGAGACATTGCTCCTGGGAGGCTGTCACCTGCTCCTCACCTTGTCTCTCCCTGTGTCCCCAGCGGCTGGCAGCAGCTGGCCTCACCCCCCTCCCCGTGCCAGGAGGTCCCATTCGTGCCAGGATCTTATGTGCTGCCACATCCCTGCTGCGTGGGCACGGCCTCGATCACAGGCTGTTCCCTATTCATTTTATTCCCTCCTCATCCTTACAGCTTGGCTTTTCTTCATTTCACCCCCTTCTCCGCCCTGAATGTCACCAGTAAGCCTTTAAACCTTTAGTCACATTGATAACACGGCAGCTCACGGCGAACAAAAAGCCTGCCTGCTGCAAAGCGTGCACAGGAACAGTGACAGGCACCTGGAGGGAGAGGGAGCCTCACAGCAACACGAACTGGAAGGCCTTTTCCTTCCCTGAGCCCAGATCCTCGGGGAAAGTGTCCAAACCATGATCTACAGAAATTATTGTCCATTCAGAAGGAAGCAGTGTCCTAATAGTTTAAATATAGATGGGATGAAAGCTCTGGGCAATCACGAAATTACAGGTCAGTGGATTATTGCAGAATTTCCCTCTACTGATTTCCATCACGTTGCTTAAGGTAAATGCGACGGGAAAGCAGACAGCTTTCCCTGCCAACTGCAACTACAGCTCAGAGCTGGCAGACTTCTCTAGCTCTGACTGCAGAAGTCAGCACAAGGTAAAAATGAATAAAAAAAAAAAAAAGCTAGGCACCTGCCCCAGTTTGTGCCTGCTTAGCTATTTTTGATTGGAGACTTATTACCATGTTAAATCCTCCTAAAAGCCTGGTCAGCTCGGTTCTCTGAAATGGCTTTTTATAGTAAATCTGAAAGTTAAGCATATGGTTTGCCAAAGTGATACCAGAAAGCTTCTCTTAAAACTTAACCTGTCAAGTACCAGAATAAAAAATACATTGTTTTTTTCACTTGATTTTCTTTTTCCTCCTTAGGAGAACCTTCAAAAAGTTACCCTAAATGATTCTAATTGTGTTTCTGAATACCCAGGGGGAATCTACTGCAAGAAGTTAACTGAACTTAGCAACTATCTGCCAGGTTTTGTCTGTGTCCCATGACACCTCTGCTCACTCTACCAGCAGAATGGTTGCAGCCGAGGGAACAACTTCCCCTTGCCATTTCAGGAGAGTATGCAGTGGTACTACAGATGATGAAGGCTCGTCTTTCTCAGTTCATAAATACAAAGCTGCACTCTAAAAAGTATTAAACCCTCTACCTCTACGCAATTTTACTCTTCTTCTTCATTTTAAAGGAAAAAAGACTACCGTTATCATAATCTCCAGGGTATGTTCTCTCTTGACCGTGGAATCAAAAACAAAAAAAGCTGTAGAGTTTTAAATTGTCCTTGGGGGTCTTGTATATTGCACATGCAAACACACACACACAAATAAATAAATAAATCAACCAACCTTTCCCATTGTTTTCCTGTTTCACCATCTGGAACTTTATATAGGCACGTGAGCACCCAAGCCTGAAAGCATCAAGTACAAAACATTTCAAATGATAACACAAACTGATAACACAACCTCCTCTACAGAAAGAGATTAACGGTGTATTTAGCAACCAAAATTATCTCTCTCTTACCATTAGCGATAAAACTACTTGTCCCTGGCCTCTCTACGCTAAGGACTGTGATATTCAGTTCATAGCTACAACTCAGATTTGAGTTCACAGTGGGAAATAAAGTCCCCGAAATAGTGGGAGGAAAGGAGGAGACTTAACAACATGTCATTCTAAAACTCTGTGCTGCAAACCTCTGATCAAACTGAGCCGTTCTAAGCTCCTGATTTACATCTGTATTTCCTATGTAGCAGCAGCATCAAGAGGCAAAACTGCTAATCCATGAAAATACCTCACAAAAATCTTATTTACTTTTTCGGTTTGGCTTTGATGTCTGCAGACGATTCCTCTTCCATCCAGTCTTTCTCTTGATTGTTTTCAGACTGTTCCGACAGACTGTGAACACTGCTTTGACATGACTTTTCACTTTCTTGTGCAGATTTTCTGGAGAGACAGATAAATGATAGCAGCTAAGCTGACATCCTCTGTTCCCTTTTCCCAGAGGAGAGGCAAAGCCAGCAGCTTCTTGCAAACAAGAGTAACAACTACCACCTAGTGGTGGAAGCCTTCCTCTCCCCCACCATCGCTACTGGCACAGTACAAAGTGCTTTTTTACTCTAGCATGGATTGAAAGAGATTATCTGAAATAATCAGCCCCTGTGGACCAAGGCTCTGATCCCAGCAGCTAGAAGAAACCCACTGAAGCATGTACTGCGGTGAAATCAAGAGATTTAAGATTTTGGAACTCTGATTCCTCTGGATAACATTTAAGACAGTTCCCGCAGCTAAGTTTGCTGCGTAAATAGAGCCACACAGTTAACCATGATAGGACAAACAGCAGAAGTTAAAAGATACGCATACTGAATTTGAACCTCCCACTATCAGGAAATTAACTAGTTAGAAAAACATAAGTATACTGCAATTTTAGATTGCCATTTATTCTAGGAGAATCCCAAAACTCCTGATAAAATTTTCAAGTAACAGTGCCATTGAAATGCAATCAATTCCATTGTCAAGAGTAGCAAAAAGAGATCCCAGCACATTGCTGGGATGAGAAGAGGCAAACTTTGGCCTGGCTATGCACACTTCAGGGGAGAGGCATTCCTTTTGTCTGACCAAACATATCTCAATAACGTTATAAATCTAAGTAAAGCAAAGAAACCTTAAAATGCATACAGGCCTTAAAATACAGAAAAGACCTAAGATATCACCAGAGACTGCCTCAGTGAGACAGAATTCCTACAGATTGTAAGTGACAATAGTGAAAGAATTCCTGCCCAGGTTTGTCCCAATGACAGACTGACTGCCTCCTGCAGCCAGTGAACTAATACGCTGTTTACCTCAATGATACTCAATTCCAAGATCTTCATGTAAGAAAATAAAACATCTGAAGGAACTCCACTTGTTTGCCAAGTGATACATACGGAGCCATTACACCTAGCAGTGTAATGCAACAGGCTCTGGGGTGGATCGCAGTTACAGTTTAATAGTGCAAAATAATCTTGCTTGACAGTTTTAGGACAGGAAATGAAGAAAAAGAATATATTTTAAATTGAAACAGCAAAGAAAAATTTATGGAGTCAGAATGCAATTTCCTTTGTTGGAATGTGACCAGAGCAGCAGGATTAAGGAATCAAGAAACCTATTAAGGCATATGAGGGTATAAAATGCACTGCTCTGTGTTAAGAGTGTCTGGGGCATGGGTCAATATTACAGACAGATGAACTCAATGCTCTACTGCTTCTCTGCCAATTCCTGTGTTTCTCAGCCTTGTAAAATGGTTTTGTTCCCTAGTACCTGCCTAGGAAATGTGTTCAGCTCACCTGGAGTGTGGAGAGTCCTCCTGAGAAGACCCTCCTGTTCCCAGCAGGACTGGGGCAGGGGTCTCTATCCTCTTGGCTTTCGGAAGGCTATTGGCAGGGGAAGGTCTTTCCCCACTCAGGCGGTCCTGTAACGAGTTTTCTCTGCTGAGGTTCACATCAGAATATGGGCAGCCAACTAACCTGAGTTAAAGAAGAAAAAAAAAAAAAGAGATCATGATGCATGTTTCTAAAATCAGTCTTACCAGCCTCAGGCAGATATATACATCAACAAACCCAGAAAAAGCAAGGCCAAAACATGTCTGGAAGGGAGACATCATTACCCAATCTAAGGTGTGGGAAAGCACAGGACCAAATAGCAGGTTTAGAAATCAAAGTAGTGTTTTTAGAGTCATCTTAGAGAATAACAACAGCTTTTCCTGTGCAGCCTGCTTGTCTGAGCAGTATTTCATGAAACAAAACAGTCCTGCAACTATCACTTTCAACAATTCAAAGTCCTTTACCACATTATCATTTACCACATTATATACTCCTGGACCTTCAGACCTCCCATTTGAGATTGTTTTCTTGCTCTGTAAAATAGTTTAATCAAGAAAAACCTTTCTTTTCCAAGAACACATAAGAAATCAAAGGCAAACCACAAAACAAGAGCGCTTTCTCCTTTCTCCTTATGGTATAATAATCTACCAACACTCTCCCTCTTAGTTGTCTTCTTGCATCCTGTTCTTGGGTATGTTATTTTATAAAAGAAATTCCCTCAGTAATACTGGAAGATAGAAATTGGAGAGAATTCATCTATGCTAGATTGTATTGCGGTTGTAATGATTATACTGGTATGAACTGAATTTATGGTGGAACAGTGCATTTAGACACAAGAGGGAGCTGCAATTTCACTAATAACTATCTCCAGAACAAACACCCTGTGATAATTTCAGTGCAGTGCAGGTGCTTGTTGCTGCATTACTCTTACAGACAGCATCAGACAGCTCACAAACAGAACCCTTATAAGATCTCATATACATACGTATAATGTGTTCCATATCGTGGGCCCCTGACATGACCAATACCGTGACAGCCTGGAGTAGGACATGCTTGTCCCACTGTTCCCACAGGATCAGCAGCACCTGGTAATAAGAATTAAAAAAACGTTAACAGATTTGTAAAAAGTTTCATACACCTCAAGAGCAGATCACATTTAGGGAAAATTATTTAATACGACAACGAGGTCATCTACATTACCTAGAGGGACTTGCAAAGCATGTCCAGTTTTTGCACACCAGCCTACTGGATGAACATCAGGGCTGTCTGCATCGACCCAAAAATCATAATTATGGTCCCAGCCATCAAAATGTATCTAAAAGAAGCACAGAGTCTCAGTGAGAGATACAGTTAAGGATATGACTCAGCTTTTATTTTAACTTCCCTCTTTTGTTTCACCTTGCTCAAGTTGGAGCTGATTCATTCAATCTTTCAGTCAAGCACAATCATTCTTTGTGCTCAATTTGTTTTCCTGACCCCTATGTCTATCTTTTAGGGAACAACCAGATTCTGGTGACATAGTCAAATAAAAGGGCCTGCAAGAAAGCACAGACCGCTGGGTGCTCCAGCACACTCCAGGCTAAATATATGCAAACAGAATTGCTTATTTAATTGTTTTGTTTTCTATGAATCCCTGAACACCATAAAAGCCAATGAGTTTGGCAAGTTTTGCAGTAAACAAGCTAGAATTTTCCACTGGACGAAGGGACTAGTAATGGTTGTTCAGATCCAGCTCAGGCAAACAGAAACTAAGGATTGCTGCTGTTTAAAGGTTAATGGGTTGCTCATATGGCAAAGCTGCAAAAAAAAAGGTATGAACTGAGTGTCATGCCACTATACACTGGCAAAACTTGACTTTAGCTGGTAGTCACAGTGATGAGCCTGAGAATCAAATGGCCAAGGGGGAGCAAACTTTACTCCTGACCACATAATCATCCTTCAGGAAGGAGACCTGTGGCCAAGAAGACCCCATCAGTGCAGGCTCCACTTTAGCCAACTGATAACTAATTTCTCAGAAGCCAGTGCAGAACAGACATTTCTGGTAATTAACATGAAAATAATTAGCTAAAATGCATCTGTGTAATGAATTTTTATTGGTTGGTGAATGAAGCTGCTTCCCACATGTACCAGGGCTTAACTTGCTTTTGATTTTAAGTGTGTTAGAAAAAAATTGTCAGGTAGCTTCCCACCAGCAGAACATTAATGCTGCCTGCACTCGTACAGATCACACAAAACCCACTAAGAGATGGAAAATCATTCTGTCAAATCTTATTTCAAAATAGTTACATTAAAACAGTAACTAACAATACCAGGCAATTCCATCAGATTTCAATAGGCCAAAACAACAGAAATCATTTCCAGTTGGGCAGGCCTGTAGGCTCGATCATCTGTAAGGTGTGTGTTTGCTGCTTCTCATATCAAACGGGTGTTTTTTTTGTACTGCCAATCACTGCATTCCTCAGCAGAAAGGCTCTGCACTTCAAAGCAAGGTCATACCTTAATACGATGGTCATCTTTGTCAATTATCGTTGCTACTCTTATCAAGATGGGATTTCTTTTGTCTACAGCCTCTAACTTCATATTAACTTGGAATCCATGAGCAGGACGCTGTAAAACAAGATCGTAAGCAGAATGCTAAAAAGTCAGGACATTCACAACTAGCTGCCTTCTCTGAATAAAATGCACTGAATTTTTCATATATCAGTCAAACGTTTTTGCAGCTTTGGCCCCTGATCTCATCTGGCAGACTACTTCAGAGGTTAAAGTAAGAGTTTTCTAAAGGAATAGGCTGTCTATTTGTCAGAAGTCCAAAATTACTCAAGGGGAAGCCTGAGCTTTCCCATGGCAGAGGAACATCTCAGTCAGTGCAAGAGGCTCTTCCTTGACAGAAAAGACCAAATACAACCACAAGCTCCACTAATACACAGACTGAACAGTCTTGACAGCAAAACTGCTCAACATGGCAGAGATTACCTCACATTTGACAAGGATGCTGGCCAGCTTGCTTCTGTCTCACATCAGAATGCCTGAAATGCTGCTGTGGGACACCTCCCTTCACTACGCTACAGAGCATCATTCTGAGCATCAGATGCAGCCACCTCTGCTTCTGGACACTAACACAATTACCTTCACTTGGTGCTTGGGCTGGGAAACAAGTGGCTTCACTTCAGTGCACTGCCAAATTCTTCCTCTGACAAACACATTTTGCCTTAACTGTAACCTGGCAATTCCAGACACTCCGCTTCCTTCCCAGAAAAGAGGATACAAAAATCCCCACTTCCAAGACAACCAGAGGTATTTCAGATCTTTGCTTTGAGCCTGGGCTTAAGCCTCTCTCGTGCAACAATGGTGCAGGACCAGGAGCCCATGGGTCAGAAGAGTAATTGCCATCTGCTTCTCATGATAACAGCACCTGCTTGTTATCAGTTGTTGAAAACTGTGGCACTGGGGAACAGCGCTGGGACATGAGAGCAGTTCCAGCCACAGGAGTCTCATGCCCACAGTTGCTCATTTACTATTTGCCTCAAACCCCGGTGGTCGAAGTACTTTGTAAAAATTCCAGGATGCCCTCTGATCTGATGTGTGCCCTCTGCAGCACCTGTGGATGTAAACCTCTATGTAACAGACAGTGTTTACCAATTTGTTTTTTTTATTTTTGAAGGACTGTGAATTCCTCCTCTGAACTCCTCATCTGGGGGTTACGGAGCACTGGGTACTCATTGAAAACACACCCCTCTTCACTTCTGCGCACAAAGGTCAGGGGAGATGACAGTTCTAAATCATGTCTTTGAACAAGACCAGGTTAACAAAAAGATTAATATCATCACTCTTTCCTCGCAATCTTCCTTACCCTTTTTACTGTCAGCAGCTGGGTACAGGGAGGGAGGTCACTTCTGAGATGAGGGGATTACAGACTCCAAACCTCGAGTTTCCCTTCAGTCTTTTCACCTGGATACAAGCTTTTATCCACAGGCTTCCAGCCACGTGGTACATCACAAACCAAGCAATCTAAACTGCATTTAGTTTTAAGAGTGTCTTATTGAGCCAGCCAACATTGCCTGACTTTCTTGGGGAAAGAGTGAGTGCTAGAGAACAAAATGCTGCCCAGAAGAGGAGTCTATTTGAGTCTTGCTGAAGGGTTGCTGCCTTTCTGGAATAGCTTCTGAATGTTTTTGACATCCCAAGACAAAGGGTTGAAATAGTGCTGCTGACAATGAAGCTGTCTCCTCCTATGTTTCTGGGTGGAGGAAAAGGCAGAAATCCAGATACAAGATCTACTATTTGCGCTGATGATCAGTGTCTCCAGACTACATACATTAGCTCTTGAAAACTGTTAAAAAATAATTCAGTGAGAAATGCCAGTTCTGGCTCTCAACCCGTATTTTTACGTACTGATTTCCTGTAATTGCTAGCTGGAAAAATAATAATAATAATACAAAAATCAATAACTGTGCCATGTATTTGCACTTCAGACCAACCATGCCAGAAAAATAACAAGGTTTGATCCTGGAAGAGTTCTATTAACCGTTGTTATATCAAATGCAATTTTTTTTCTGCCTCATTTTCATAGAAGAGTCTTGGATGCTAATTTAGACTCCAAAGTTTCATGAGAGCCAGAATTGGCCCTTCAACCATTCTCTCAAAGCCAGATATCTGGACGAACGAAGCAATGGCTGCAGAAATTGATGAAAAACAGGAAGAGAGTCAGACAAGGCACTTACATTCCCCCTTGGGAAGATGCTTCATTTTGGAAGAATCCAAAAGAGGGAGTATCCACATTAAAAAGGCTCCCTGTACTGAGCAAAGCCCTATTATCTTCAGGTGACATTTCTCAACACATTTTATATTCTGAAAATCTGAGGAAGCAACGCTGTAATGATAGATTACTGAGGACTGGAGAGTGGCAGTTTTAAGTAGGCTGCGCTCCACTGTTTCTTTTTGTCATGGAGAGTTTTATCACCTTTCCAAAGTATTTGTCTCTATAGCACCAGTTCTGTTGTTCCTCTATCGTGCAGAAGACCAGTTGCTGCATTCCTTCTCTCCTGTATTCTGAAATTCCCCATTTTCCAGCACTGTTGGGATTTTGCAAACGCAGCTCAGAAAAAGGCTGAGCCTACGCTGGGGGTAACAAACGCGTCCTACTGACAAGCCTCACTCATTATCCAGCACACTGCCTCCGAGGTGCTTCGCATGCTGTGCTTCGTGATCGAAGATGCTGCCTGCCCAGCTCTGGAAAACCTTAATCCAAGGGATGCTTTGGAGTTCCACTGTGCTGCAGATAGCTCCGGCTGTGGCCTCACAGCTCTCTAAAGAGGCAAACCCAGCCTCCTCCTATTACGTGACACCCGCCTTGACAACCTACAACAATTTCAAATGGACACCTGCTGAAATCTAGCAATTATCAGCCCTGCTTGGCTGGATTTTTACCTCCCTTATCTGAGGCCTCCTTGATTGCTTTTCCTCCTCAGGCCCAAAGACCTTACCCACAAAATGTAAGGGAGGGCAGCAGGTATTAACCTGCAAGTCTAACTTTATCAAAAGCATTCAAGGCAAATATCACGATGCCACAGGAAAGTTTTTAAACACACCGCAAAGTTTAGCAATGTGAACCAGCGCCATGGAAGACACTGCTAAGAAATAAAAAAAAAGCAACTTCGGAATTTATTTATGAAGTTATTTTGTTTTGTTGCATTTCTGCTCACAGTGAGCTTCCAGATAAATGCACTGAACTCCACTGTAAAAAAATGAAGCTCAGGCTCCCATGGTTGAGAGATTCTGAGAATCTTCAGATGGTCTTACTCCGTTCTAGGAGTCTGGCAGAGATGCTCCATCACCTGGCAATATGCTTATTCCTGCAGGGGGCACAGCTGGCTCCCCCCGAGAAGAACCACGATCGGTATCAGAACACACTAGTTCTCAACAGGAACTTTTCACCCTACCTTCATTTTATCCTCACCAACCAGGGGAAAAGGGGCTTTACACAACTTCAAGGCGAAAATATTTCAGAGGAGTTTTTAAAATTTAATGTGGGGGAGACCAACCAATGGGACGAATTCCAGATATCACTTTCCCTTCAAACACATACACACATACCACTCCTTCTCCTCCCTTCCTCACCAAACATCCCCAGTTGCAGACCAGTGATACCCAGTTCTGATCCCAGCAAAGGGAGTGTCTGGAGTCTCCTCAGTCAGCACCAGTCCTGCCCATCTCACCTGGGAAAACCCCTCTACCCACCCAGTCAGACCTCGAGAAAAATGCCAGCTCCTTCTCCTCCCGATACCCTCTCTGAAGGAAGGTATTGTCCTTCACACATACCTCTGAAAACTACAGTTATCTGAAGGCTCTTCCCTTAACACTGCTAATGAAGAAACTGAAGAGAAACTGAAGACATTTAGTGAAAAATCCTTTCACTAAAGAGAGCTTTCCATGACTTTTTTTTAGCCACGTAGACTGTTGTGTGTTTTGTTTTAGAGAGCTGATTTTAAACTCAGGCTCAAAGTAAAAAACATGCTTTCACCCTCTTAGCACAGACACAGTGAACCACCACCAAATACAACATCTAGAAAGGAAGGGTAGATAACAGAAGTTTCCCCTACTCTTCTGACCTAAGAAAATCAAAGAGATTCACCAACCAGTTTGAATGCTCTTGCTGGAGCTGCCTGGGAATTAGTTTCTTCCAAGTATTTCTCCCATGAGAAGGCTTTAGGATCCTTGTATCCTGAAAAACATGGAGAATTAACATTTAAGTAAGAAAAGCCCAGCTATTGTTACAAAGAACAGAAAAGCAGCTATGTAGCACATGGTTATTATGTTAACTTAGCACTTTTAAAGGATGGCACTGGGAAGTGTTGTTCATACACATTACTTACAGCACACACAACAGCACTGCAAGTTTCCTGAGCTTCTACAAAGGCCTTTAACCCTAACCTGAAAAACCTGAAGAGTTTGTTTCTGTACAGCTTAATCAATTCTTACTCTCTAGAGAAAGCTGCCAATTAAGAGCTAGTCAGAGGATTCTGTGATGTGCAATGGCATCACTAAATTAATTTCCTATTTTATTAACCATTCTATGTGTGAGTGCCTGCCAGATTGTAGGAACTTCTCATCTCCTCCTACCTACTCACCCATAGCTGAATAAAATTAGCAGTCTCGAAGCAAGAGGCTCTGTCACCATTACCTACCTACCCAGACACCTACATGGCTGTGCTACTCTAACGACAACAGGATGCATCTCTCTGGCAGCAACTCCTAAGCTACGTTTAAGAAACTGCTCTACCTTCTTTTCCTCCCTATTTCAGTATTTTTTTTAGCCTCAATATTGTTCCCTTTTGGCAGGAAGACCAGATCACTAATTGCACAGGACAGTCTGCAAATTGCTGCACATAAATCTTTCAGCAGAGAAATGAGAATTGACTGCAGATTCTCTTAGGGGCACAGGCAATCACAATGTGAGTAGGGGAGCTGCACGCCACAGCCTTGTTGCACTTTCCAGAAGCAGGAACAGAGGTGGTGCTGCTGAAGAATAGGGGTCTATAACCCCTTTAGCATCTGCAGTAAAAGGCACTAAGGCTAATTCTTCCACTGCAGAGGCAGCTTGTAGTGCTACCCACTCTACTAAACTTGATATGCAGTAATTACAGAATTTCTCACTCTAGGGCTGTCAATCTAGCAAACAGCAGACATTATTTTTTTATTATTTTTAAGGTGAATAAGCACTTGCATTGCCTGAAAACAACACTTGTTTTTCTGTAGGTTCTGTCCTTTTTCATTTGCCCAACATTCTCTTCGTTTACTGAATTCCAGTGCAGCAGAAGGCGATGTGGCTTCAGTTATTCCTTCATTTTCAGAAATTCCATCCCATTATCTATAAAATCCTGATACCAATTCCTCTTTCTTCCAACTCACCTTAGAGGAAATTCTGAAAATACTTCAAATTTCTTTCCCTTCTGAAATCAAATTCAATTGCAAATTACCAAACCTTGTTCCTTTGCTCGAAAGAGCTGTAAAACAAAATAAACTGCAGCGCAAAAAGTATGAACAATAACATTGTTCTGTCGGTAAAGAATACTGAATGGAATCTGTAAATTCCTGTAAATCTTGCAAATACGTAATTATGTGGAAGATAAAGCCTGCAGGTTTTTTGACTGAGGCAGGAAATAAGTCTCACTTTCAACATACCAGGTGGTGTTGTCAGCGGGGTTCCAGTTTCTTGGCAATAGCCAACAGGACGAATATATGGGCTGCTAGCTTCACACCTGAATCAAAGAGAAGTTGGCATCAGTCAGTTTTAAAGCAAAAAGAAAAAAAAAAGAATTTCAGATGCTGTCTGATACGCTTTTGCTAGGGTAGCAGATGCTTTCAGTGGGTGTGATCACGGTGTAAAAGACAAGCATTACCTCGTTAGAATTTATAAAGCCAAGTTTTCAAGGCATTCAAGCTGCCCCAAAAGATGTCTGTTGCTTTAAAAAACAACAACCAAAAAGCTCCCCCCATGGGCCATACAAACCACAGATCACCCTGGACCATCCAAGCTGAAATATAAAGGAAGCAAGCAAACGGAAACCGAACTCTTGTCCCTAACTGAAACCCAAACTTTGGAAGAAGGGGCAATGACTTTCAATATCTCACCAAGAACTACATGTTACCCATTAACTCCAGCTGAAACCTACTGGTTGTTTGCCTGGTTCCCAATTTTATTGCATATATACACCTCTTGAGCTCCCAGAGGAGGGGATGTGTCCATTTGAGACAGCCCCTTTTGTCACATCTGCTCTGAGGAAGGGACCAAAGCAGCCTTTCAGACCGAGGAAAAAAACCTGTATTTTCAGCCAAATGCTGCTCTGAAGCTTTGTTTGCTTGTGTTTCCTATTAACATTTCCAAATTCCAAACAAAACATGGCATGGAAACAAAGCTTCATGGGCTACAGCGGTAAAGGAACTAGATCTGAAGACCTGCTAATCGAAACACCAGTGTTACAAAGCTCTGGATGATATATTTATGGCAAAGAAAGAAAAGACTCTCTTGGCACCAGAGAGGTACCTATTCTGGAAAAAAAAATCATACAAAAGGAGGTGAGGGAGAAAACACAGAACACTGATTGAATCAGTGCTATGTAGATAAGCATGTGCCTCGTGTTGCTTTCACAGGCAAATTCAAAGAAAGTTTCTCCATTCATGTGGGCTGGGAAACCTGGGCCAAAGAGGAAAAATGGTTTTTAAACTAATACTTCACCTGGCCCCAGCATGAGGGGTGGGAATCAAGATGCAGATGCAGAACAATTGTAGTGCAGGTCAGGACTTCAAAGCCTAAACGTTGGCAATCCCTGCTATTTTTGAAGTGCCTTATCTAAACTCTGCTGAAGCAAATGGGAAGATTTTTACTGACTTCAGTACTACCTACTTCCAAACGTAAGTCTGCAGGGAAACATGCCAACAGCCATTACTAGCTCTAGAGGAGAGGATGTTACTAATTAGAGGTGTTTGTCACCAGTGGAGCTTACTGTTTTTTATTTCAGTTCTGCCAGAGGATAACATGAACAGTTCCTAACCTGGCCCCCAGTCACCAGCTGCGTTTCCTCAAAGGCTGCTCTAGCAGTTCAGGTTAATCCCACTGACTTTGCACGGAGCCAGCTGAAGAGCACACAAACAGCAGGGGAAACTACTGGGCAGTGTCACTTAGTAAAAAACCCCAAACAATTACTTGGATATTTGAAAGCTAATTTAAGATCCCAACTTTAATTACTACACTTAAAATATGAGATGTTAGTGACAGAGTGAAATAAACCACGGTCTACTTGCAGATATATATTAGAAATAGATTCTCTTTACCAGTAGTCATAATTCTCATCCCAGTTATCAAAATGAATTAGCAGGCGGTTATCCACCATGTCAGTGATGGTTGCAACACACATCAGTGACGGATTCTTCTTGTCCACTGCCTCTAGTTTCATTCCCAGACGAAAACCAGATGGTGTGACAGGCTGAGGAACAGGACATCAGGAAAGGGAAATCAGCTACATTCTAGCCCACGCCATTTAAATCACTGTTATAAACTCATTAGTTGCAGGTTGTAACCCTGAAACCCACAGAACAAAACACAAGCCACCAGCAAGAGGGCTACAGACAAGATTTCCATGTTTTCTGGCAATAAATGTTACTGTTTCTGAAAAAGAGCTGGTGCAGCCTGAGTAACTGAATCTCCAGGTATACAACAATACAGATCCCAAACCAAACCATTCTGTGATTCTATGCACAGTTTTGTGCTGCTAAGTACTGGCTGAGGATAAGCATGAGCACTGATGGTTCTCTCTTACTAGTGGAAAAGTTGGAGAGTATCCAGACACAAATCTACGTGGTTGGGCCCTGATCGCTCTGCAGACAGTGCTCTGTCCACTGGCAGCACCAAATCCACCAGGCTGTGGACTTTGTGTCATTTCAGTGACACAGAATGGGAAGCAGCGTTATAAACAAACTGAAGCTAACAAAGGAAAACAACAGTGGGTGAAGGATGAAAAATACTCAAGATCCATGGCCTCATAATAAATCCCATGACGCACATGAGCATGCTGCTGGAAACCAGAAATTATTTTGGAAATGATTAAATTAGAGGAAAGTGACACAAATATCTTGACTGCAGGGACACAGCAAAACAGACTGTTGTAATATATTTAACAAATGGTAGAGTAAATCTTTTCCTCCAGTATTAAGGAAGAAGGGAAATACAAATTCTCTGCCTGGAAAGCCAGTGACTGGGGGAGGGAAAAAAATGTACTGGCTTCCATCTTACAAATAAATCACAGCAGGAAATAGCTTGCATCTGATTGTACCATGGCTGTACCTCTGACATGAGCATATTAAAAACATGTAAATATTCTGGTCAAAACTTGCTTGGCATCAGATCTGATTTGAAAACATCTTGTATTCAATATCACCACTTACAGTGCTGAGGGTCTTAAAAAGGCTTTTTGGAGCTGCTTGAGCTTTGCAATTCTTCAAATAGGAAGCCCAATTAAATTCTCCCTCCTTGAAACCTAGAACAAGAGATAAAAAGATTGTTTTACACAAACCCATTACATTCAGATTGGTTTTTCAGAAATGGAAATTACCTGGGAAGAATATGAACTTTGCATGATAACTGCCCTTCTACAATCTTCAGGGGTTATGCATTTCGGCTAAAACATCTCTCTCTTTTTCAGTATAATGTCCAGTCATTAATCTCAACCTTCAAACATTTCTAGGAAATTGAATGCCAGGAAGAATAAAGTTCTGAACTCCAAAGAAACTCCTTTGCTCACCCAATAAAGAGTTTCTAATTTGACTAACAACGTCAATCTTTGGGAACATCAAAAGGAAGTTGTTATGTTCTTTTTGTGATTCACTATGTTAATTACACCTCTTCCCTTTAAGCCACTCAGATCGAGTTCGACAATGAAATCATACTAAAAATGAAACATGCATAGCCAGGACAACTAGCTCTTAGTAGAATTTATGGCGTCTTGCACACCATTTTATTTTTGTCCATACCTTTAGGAGGGAGCAGCTTATGGCTTGTTTTTTCACACCAGCCGACAGGATGGATGTCTGAGGAATCAGCATTAACCCAGAAGTCATAGCACTCCGGGTAACCGTCAAAATGTAGTCGCATTCTATAACCTTGTACCTATAAGCAGGGATCATACAACATTGTTATATAGAACCTTAAGAAAAATACTAACATGATGTTTTTCCTGTATTTTGATTTATAGATAAAAGTGTAAGACCTGGTCTATTTCTCAAAAGCCTAGTTTTATTTTTCCTGATTTACATCTCTCAGTTTCCATGGTCTTCTTTCCTCACTTCAAAGAGCTGACAACAAAACCAGTCAGTGTAACTTCAGTGGACTTGTTTTTATTCCATACCCCACATATTCCTGTGCTGCAATATCCAGAGTGCAAATGTAGCAGGAGAACACTTATGTCTACGTCAGCTTGACACAGATTTCACAGAATTGAAGAAACATAGCATTTCCACTTGCTTATATTTACTAAGTCACGGGGCCTAATAGCATTGTTCTTTTCACATTCATTCATTGCATGGAATTAAAAGGTTTATTATTATTATGAAATACAGTTGCAAAAGTCTGACTACAAAATCCTACAAAAGTGGGATTTCATGGATTCTTAACCACATAACCATATTCCTACATTGTCACTTTGAAATCCTCCTAATCATTAATTAATTAAAATACAACTATTCCTATGTTCCTACTTTTTATTGAAAAAGTATCCTAAATATAAATGGGATTTTTGGAATCAAAGATAGGAATAGCAACTACCTCAGCCACTGTAAGAACACAGAATCGAGATGGGTGTTCAGGGTCCAGCCCTTCCAATTTCATTCCAACTTTAAATCCATTTCGGCCTTGTGGGAATGATTGATACTGTGTGGGAGAGGAAAAAAAGACAGAAATTTGTTTTTAATTTCTAAAGAGAAAATCTATTGCAGAGCATTCATCAGATATGCTTTGAATTTTCAACTCAGAGCAGAAAATTCTATCACTAAATGATTGCTGCTTTAATAGACAGGCACAGGTACAGAGATCAATAACAGCATGATCACCATATTTCAGGTTTACTTGTTATTCTAATTAATCTCTGAAAAACACTGAACCATGAGTCTGTTGCAATTAACTGCGAACAAATCTTTCAGCAGATGCAGAAATGAGCTCTACTCAAACACAAAAGAATCCCCTTCACAGCCCAGTGTAGGAGGGCTGGCAGAAACAAACAGCCAGGAAAGCTAAAATCATTCTGCCTGTGTCAGCACGAGGTCAGCAGTCCAGACTTCCCCAAAAGGTAACTTCTCATCTTCAAATGGTGGAAGGGAGAAAGAATGTTTAATCTGGAGCCCATTTACACAGCCATTCCAGAAAGCATTTGTGTCATTAATTTATTTGCAATCTGAATCCAAATTAAGCATCTGAAGTATAGCAAAGGCTTAAGCAGAAATTTCAACTGCAATTGCAAATAGCTTATTGCATCTGCTGTAGTTAACTGCCTCTCCTTCTCATCTCACCCTGGACGGTGCAAACAGCTCTCTCCTTTGAAGAATTCACTGTGAGTTGAACTTTTAATTTGGGCTGCAGCACCAGAAAGTAGAAGCAGCTTCCCTGCATCTAAATTCATCTTCTCCTAACTTCAGTGCACCAGACTGTGGATGACCACAGCTTCCCTTCTAACGATTACTTCTCACTGAGGTAATCTCTGACACTCTCAGAGCTAGCTGACTTACAGTTTTCTACATAGGAAGGCTGGAAGGGGCGTAGTACAGACACAGATGAAACACCGGACATATGAAAGACATTAAACTGTTCCTCTATGATGTTGCTTAGAGATTGCCTAACAGCCAATTTATTCTGAGCTACCCAAAGCAGACCGAAACAGTCATTGTTTATTTGTGAGTGGGATTCAATCCGTGGTTTTTACAGCGCTGGTTTTGGATGAGACTCACAGGGTAGATGTTTGTTTCCACAGTGCTTCAGGGCTGGAAACAAACATGAGGTTTTCACTGCCTGCTTGCAGTAAATAGCTAATAAATGTAACTGCTGGTTTGAGGATAGTCTCACATTCTACTTGCATTGAGTTAGTAATTCTGGGAGGCTTCCTGAGAAAAACAATGAAAGAGCTGAAAAAGCTGCCAACCTCTCTGAACAGTTTTAGGGGAGCAGCTGGCATCCGTTCCTCTTCTAAGTAGGAAACCCAGTTCCATACCTTCTTCTTTGCAGGAACAACTAATCAAAAACAAAAACAAAAATGAGTGTTTCTCCCAGACATCTCCCGTTTTTCCCTCTCTCCTCTTTCTCCTCCCATTTCTGCAAATCATTTTTACAGCACCCGGAGCAGCTCCAGGCAGCGGCGCTGCTTTCTGATCAGGTGCAGAGTTACTTTTACAGCAAGTAAGGAGGCAGCTCTGAGCTCAGCTCCGCCAATGCTGTTTTGCTGCAGTACCCCAGAGGAGGCAGTGTTACCCAACTTTTGAGGAAAGGTACAAATTCCAACAGTAGGACAACCGTGCTCATTCCTCATTAACAAAAATTTATCGCATCGCAGGTCAAATGAATTGTGGCACCCAAATTGCTGGAAGCTACCCATGGAAAGCTGCCACGGTAAAGTTTTGACAAGATATAATAACTTAAAATAGTGGAAAATGATTCCTTCTGATAATTCACAGAGAAATAAGGGGTTAGATATGAACTAAATGACAGCACAGAGAGGCATATAACTGCAGCTGAAATAAACCTAAAACAAAACAATGAAAAAACAAGTGAATTTTCATTCAATTCACAAGATTTTTTATATGTACAGATATATGAATACATATTTATAACCTGCTAATACCACAGTGCATCTACTACAGAGGCAGCTACCAGTACATACATGATGAAGACAACTTGGCAGGTGCTTGGATTCATTCTAGCAGAACCATGGTCATACACACAATAAATTACATTTTAAATGCATATTAAAAATCCCCCCTGGTTATGCTAACTCCTTTAAGGTATGCAACAAATTTAACCCAAAAGTTTGCCATCAATCTCATGTTGCTTACAATTTATGTTCTATTTGTCATTTGTGGCTATGAAGCTCTCCAAAGTCAATGGAAACAAAGATTCTTATCGGCTTCAGCGAGCTTTGGATCAGGCTGTCTCCTTCCAGATCCTCTACGCTGTGCCCAACATGCAGGCAAATCTAGCATATTCTTGCTAATACATTTCAGAAGACTGACTGTGGTAAGAGGGTTATGTACCTAATAAGCTATTCTGAATGTGAAATGAGCTCTACTGTCCTTTCTTCTTCTGTTTACTATTATTCACTTTATAATAGCTAGTAAAATAATCTATAAACATTAAAGAAAAGAGACTATGAGCTTAGCTCACCTTGTTTTATTGGTTTAGTGTTTCTGCGGCTTTTCATATTATTTGATTTATTCTTCTCCTAGACACAGATACGTTAAAAAAAAGTTTAGCAATATTGTTGTTTCCTCCCTCTGATCATCTCACAATGCAGGTACAATAAGGATGTAACATGTAACTAACAGGACTATTAGCTAGCATTATTTCCCTTTGAATAACCCTGCAAGAGCATTAGTAGGGTACGTTACATAAATAACTTTGATCCTGCAGTATCCCAAAATACTTTACAAATTAATTAATATGCTACTGAAGTTCATTTACACATGGCCATTGAAGAGCAGTACGAGCCCTAAACCTCCATTACAATACACAGGATTTGCCTTCTGCAGTGCTGGATTTACTGCTCACATAAGCAACCTCACTGTAATGCTCCATTTTCCTTTCAGGGGTTCTTATGTCCATCTATGCCAGGGAATGGATACAGGAAAAAAAAATCACTTATGAAGCCCTGAAAGTAGCAGATGCTTCAAGGAACTATTGCCATAGATGAACACCCCAGAAAATATCTCCCTGTGTCACATTCCAAGCCAGATTGCCATTCAAAGTTCTATGTCAAGCTCATTAATTCACCCACGGTTGTCATTTCTTGAAGTAGAACAAAAAGGGCAAAATGTGAAATGCAAAGCTGCCTGCCAAAGCACGCCCTAGAAGAGAGAGTGGGGCAGTTTCAAATGAGGAGGAGGAGAAAGGGAAGAGACGGAGGGCAAGGACTTCTGCAAACATATATACTGAAATCTCTCTCGTATGCATCACAGAGAAAAACTGAGCAATAAGATGAACTAATCATCAGAAATTTCATGACATCAGAAATTTCAGCTTGCATTACCACCAAGCACCTACCCCAGTGGCTCTCCATTAGAAAAACAAGTGCAATTCATGAACATAAATGTAATGATTCAGGTGTGAGACTGTGCACATGGCAGCAGAGTGCAGACTTGCACAAAGGAGTAGGATGCTTAATGAATATTAAGAAAAGCTGAGATCAGGACTGAGGTACTTCTATGCGTACACCATTAATACATGTTTCTAGTGGTGTAGAGAATGTACATACAAGTACATTATAAAAAGCAATCAAACTCTGCTGTTTGACACTAATCTTCAGCCTCACGTAGTATTTCTTGACTGTAGTTAGGTGTAATATTTGGGAGGGCATGTATTCTTATTGGGAAATAAGCTCAGTGCACAGGGCTATAGCTACATCTATATTACATTACTGCCTGAAATCTTGACTGTGACTTCACATGAGCTATTCACCAATATGACTCCTCAGATTTCAGAACAGATATTCTCGTTCCTGAGGTAAAATCAGAATCAGACCCAGACCATTCTCATGGGTACAGAACAACCTCCCTTGGCTCAGTTTTCCTTGCACAGTGAAGCCACAGACTTCTACATGCTCTTTACAGTTCTCTTTAAAGAAAATACATGTGGCCTTATTTACCTCATCCTCATCTGCATTTTCCTCATCATCCTCAGACTCCAGAAGCAGTCTTCTCTTCCTTCGGAGACGTTTGGCAGGTCTGTTAATCTCATTCACCTGACAGCCAATGCCAACATTAGGATTTCTGCTATTTCCCCTGTTTCTGCAATCATCTGGAATGTCTTTGGTATCACTAAATGTTCAAAATTGAAAACAAAAACAAATTAAAAGACCAGTAATATTTCTCCAGTATTCCCAATGTCTCTGTACCTGTTTGGCAGAATGAGGTTGCCTGCACTGCGAACCTAAAGAAATGAAACATGTTTGTATGATTTGCCGTAAATTTATCTTTTAAAATACTTAAAAGTACCTGAATAGCTATCACTACCAAAGCAGCTCCAGAGGGTTTTTAATACTGCCTTTTTACAGCTCTGTGGAAAACAGGACATCATCCTTATCTACAGGAGAGGGAACTGAGGCATCAAGAACAAAATGAGAATTTATGCAGGTTGAGAAATTAGGATTGATATCCAGAAAAAAGCTCTCCTCAGTTTGGCTTGAGAGCCTCAAGGGTAACAGGAAGGTCACCAGCAGAGCTTTGCAGGCAGCCCTGCTTCTGCCATGCCATGTTAACACTTGCTCTGAGGACTTCATTACCTTCACAGCAATGCTTCTCTCTAGCACAAAGTTATCCCTAAGCAGTTTTAAACATAGAAGAAGAAGAATCCGGGGTTTATTTACCTGTCCCTGTGCTGCTGAGAGGCTGTCTGAGTACAAAACTTTCCATTCGCAAAGCAATCCATTTGACCATAGGTTTGGAAAACAGAACAGGGCAAGTTGTCTTTGGACACTGCAGAAGCAAAGAAAAAGAAAACTATTAAAGTAAAACGTTAGAACTTTGTACTTCTTAAACACCTTTCATGCAAGGAGTTCTGTCAAAGTCCTTTACAAACTTTCAGTGAGCCTCAGTACCCCATTGTGAGGGAAGTAATTATTATCGGTACACTGGCATACAGAAAGAGTGTACCACCTCATTAAAGAAAAACCACTTTTATCTGTAGTATTTTAATTTCAGAGACGCTCTGCCCTCTGAAAAGTATTAAAGAAGATATAATCTCAAGGCTATAGCCAGGACACAATTACAGATCTTTTTATATTTCTTTATTCCTAGTAACCCTCTAACTTGAAAAGCAAATGTCAGATGAGCCCACTTTGTTTGGATACTTTAAATACAGTTGGTTAAGTTTTAAAATTTCAGTCTTTATCTACACTTTGTACATAGGAAAAAATCTTTCATAGGCAGTCTTTAAAAATAGCATTATTGATGGGGAAATAGAAACAATTATTTCTGAATCTAGCAAGGAGTATATATCCATCTTGCTTCTGAATGAAAGCATGAAAATACAAGGAGTAACTCCAGCATACTGTTTACTTTCTACTAATGTTTGGCTTTTTCCTAATGCAATTTATGTTGAATATTTTAATAAAACACGGTTGCAGTAATCCCCATTACCAGGCATCTGTGCTATCCCAACGCATACTTCACTCAAGTTCTCTGACGTGCAAATTGTGCACAGGGCTCTTAGGCAAACGTCATTCATATTCTGCACTTTGGGGCACCGTTTGTGTGCACTGGTTTGATCAATTCATTCCTGTACGCGCCATTTAAGAGAGGAAAAAAAAAGCAAACAAGGCACCAGGCAATCGAAAACACTGAGATACGAGTCACTTTGCTTCTTGTTTAAAAGCATTTTCATAGTCTCCTTACCAGTACTTGCACTCATTCTGTTGAGATGACTGAAATTTTTCATTTATATCTGATTGCTCCCTGTGGACTGAAAGGGGATGTTGGATGGTCCTGGCTGGAATTTGGCAGACAGACTGCCTACACAGAGCGAACACAAGCCTGCTCATGTTACTACTTAAAGCTTCTCCCGGTGCCACTGGGGACCAATGATTCCAGGCAAGGAGAAGGCAAAAGAGGGAAAACGTGTAAGAGCAACAGAGCTTGAAGAGCTTTGCTCAAATAGAAGTCACGCTGATAGATGGAATACACTTGGATTAAAAGGGTGTGAAAAATTCTTAGTGCTGAGGTGACCATGTAAGCACTGGTTCTTTGCCTGATGAATTGACGTTTCCTCAGCTCTCGCAGGCAAGAACTACCCACAATCAGCAGGAATGTAAGCGAATGCCTGTAAGCAAAGTGGATCTGCAGAGCTTACAATGAATTCTGAGATGAAAAGAGCCAACACGGTAGACAGGTACGAAGGCTTCCTACCAGAAAACAAGGTATGAAGCCTTCCTACCAGAAAACAGAAATAGTTCCATCAAGATCCCGGGGAAGAGCCAACTGGCAGATGCTTGTCCAGGCAAGCAACAAGAGGAGAGATTGTTCTCTTCCCAAAAAAAGAAATTCCCTCCATGGGTGTGTACGATTTCAGGGACACAGCCCTGCCTTGACCAGTGATCCAGCACTGGATCACTTGGGCACTTTCACAAAGAGCTCTACTGAAACCCTTGATTAAAGGAAACAAATGATTTACCAAGTGAGGCTGCCCAGCTGAACCAAGTGGGCTGGAATGAAAAGGCTCAGAGGCTAACAGAAGTAAATCTGCTTTCAAATACTTGTTTCTGGAGAAACAGGGTAAGAAGAGGTCTGCAAAGAACCATCTGAGATATTTTTTGTCCATTATATTGATGTGTATGTCTAGTAACATGCTTACGTTACCCTGTTAAAACAATTTCCCCTAATTTGGATTGCAGCAGCCTTGGAAATGACAAAGTCCTCGTGGCTAACAACGCATCGATCGGCATGAGCCAGGTTACAGGCAACTCTCAAGGGTGTTCTCGCCAAACTGGGGATTCATTCTGGGCCACCAACGCCAGGCTGGCACAGCGCTGAGCCACCCACTCATGCTCTGCATGCACATGGAAGAATCTCACTGGAAAATCCCCTCACACACAACACTCAACGAAGGCACATCTTTGTTAGCACATCAGCCAGAGCACCTCAGCTATACCCATCTTTAGCACAGTGCTGGGCACTTCTGGCCTGAGGCACCCAGCAATGTCCCGGGCAATTCCCAAGCGTGGTTCAGGACTCAGCATGGAGCTGGAATTCCTCCCAGGGGGTGCAACCCCTCCATTTTGGAGCCCGAGTGTTTAGTAAGGTCTGTAACACCAGACTATTCCGACCCCAAAGCCCTAAAACAGGCACAGTTCAGTTTAATACAGATTAAGACCTAATCACTGTCATGACAAGTGCATCACCCCTGTTAAGGATGTCACTGCTGAACCACTACCCTGGAAAGAGGGGCTCCGACATCCCAGTATCACCAGTTAAGGAGACCCTGGTGTTTAAGTTGAAACTCCGTGTGAGCGAGATGTTTGAGTACAGTGGCAAACCCAGCCCAGATGGTTTATATAACCACACTTACCTTCCACAAAGGAGCGCACAACGCATGAGCCGGGCTCTGTTATGACTCTGCAGTAATTACATTCACTCTAAATACCTCTACAACATTCGAAACAGGCAGTGACTCACTTCACATGCTGCGTCAGGGAGCACGGCGCTGCTGAAACACACCCTTCAGTCCTGTTTCTAGAAGCTTTTCCAGAAACCACATATTCTGTCCCACAGCAAAAAGCTCACCTTCCAAATCAGCGCTAGAGGCAGCGGAAGCGTTGACAGCAGCAGGAGCAAAGCTGGTTGGGCTGGCATTTATAGCTGAGGCTGAAAGAGCTTTTATGGCTTCTGCTTCTGCTTCAGTAAGGATTTCTAGCATTCCAAACTCATTTAAAAAGAACTGCAGGTAAAAGAAGAAAGCAGGCAAATAAGCAGTAGCAAATGGGCTAGAAAAGGGGGCAGGAAGGAATAGGATTCCCTGAGAAGCAACTAGGTATGGGACAAAAAGAAATGGCTGTATGTACATAGAAAAGCAATAAAAATAGCTAACGATAAAAATACGAAACACAGAACTCTTCCTCAAAATGCCAGCAGTGGGCCCCCAGAACCCCAATGGTGCATTTCACCATCAGAGGAGGAAAGCAACGTTATTCTACCTGCTTTGATCTGTTCCCCTTATAAATCCCAAACCTCTGACAAACGCACCAGAATAAATTCCTGCAGAAAACCAATTCAACCCCAAACCTTTGTTCTGGTGGGTCAAGTTCATCCAGCAAAGCACAATTACTTTTACTGCAAGTATCAGATACTGCAAGCTCCCTAAAATCCCGGTGCAAGCAGGAATCACCCAGCTGTTGAAGGAGAGGCCACGCTGCAGCAGAGAACGATGCAGTGTGTGCTCCCAGCTGGTGCTGGCCGAGCTTCGCAGACCTCGGAGCACAGCTGGGACTGCACAAACGCAGTACTCATCTGAACAAACCACCCCTGAACAGCCCAGAAACACACCTAACGCCCTGCACACGCGCCGTCTGCCCTACTGCAGGCCAAGAGGAAACTGAGATGCAGAAGAAGAAAACCCCTGCAGACACGCAGGGAAGTGATCAACCCATAGGGTAGCCTGGAAAAAAAATGGTATGTGTCTGACTTCAGAGACTATCATTTAAGCTTAAAAAACGTCTTGGGCTAGGAACACACTTCATGGATCCAGATAAAATTAGCAGCGTGCCAAATAGCGTCAATGCGCATCTTTTATTAGTCCCCATCTGCAAAGGCAATCAAACACGCACACAAAAAGACTAATCTGAAGATTAGTCACTCCTTGATCTTCTCTACTGTCTGCACTACAGAGCTGCTGAACTCCAGAACGAGAGGCAAATACCGGGTGGGTTGCATTTGCAAGCTCTGCTCCAAAGCTTTTATTCACAGCAGTTTATTAGCTTGAGATCTTTTCTCAGCCACCCGTTCTTCACTCAAACCTGGCAAACCCAGATTAAAAGCGAGTGCTTCACCTCTGAAGCAGGGCCCTCGTCGCATTGAGAAGTGCTGTTCTTCCTCTACTGCTGCACGCTTCCTGGTCTCCAAATCCTGCCTCCAGCCCCCTATCAAAGCCTCATCCCAAAAGTTCCTCCCCCTCCTTCCTCTTTTTGATCGGAAGCCTGTATTTGTTAAGGATTCAAAGATGCTGGACTTGCTTCTAAGAGCTCACTTCTTCCTCTGCAGCCCCTAAGACCTGGAGCACCTTTTTTATTTCACTAAGATGAGAAACAGCCCATTGCAAAGAAAGAATTTACATGGGCCCCTGTGTTTCCTGGATCCTGGCTGTTGTAAGAGAAGCAACCTCTCGCTTTCCCCCAACGCCTAGGAGCAGTAGCCTAAGGGTGCAGGATCTCAGTGGTTCCTCACCATCGCTGCCGAGGACAGCTCAGCACCGTGAGCACAAGGTCAGGGGAAGGAGCACCTCCAGAGCTCCACGTGCCATTAAGCAGCAGAGCAAATGAAGGCGAGCTCACAGCTGGAGGTGGGGAAGGGTGCCAGCATCGCTGGGTGTTAGCAGATGAGTCTCTGGGGTGGACACTGCTGCATACAAATCACGAGCCCTGCTTCAGCCCAAGCCAGTGAAGACAAGGCTTCCTTTTATTATTTGGTGCCATATGAACTGGGAAGCCCAGCCCAGGACCCCAGAAGCAAAAGTTTGCTAGAAAAATGTCCAGCATTGTTACTAACAGTTCCCCAGCTGTGCTGAGGACTGGCTGACCTATGGAACCCATCTCTGGTTTCATTCCCCAATTCCTCAAGGCAACATCCTTCATCCTGAAGGTCTGGAAATGTGTAACTGTTTCTATCAGGACTGCTGCTTCTTTTACATATAGAAAGCAGTTCAACATAGCACATTTGCTAATGTGAAATTCACACAAACTCTCCAAAAATAATCTGTCCTTGCTGAGAACTTTTGAAAAGGGAATTCAGGGAAAATGTATTTAATTGTGCATGCAAGAACTGGAATACAGCAGGAAGAAAAGACGGGATGGGAAAAAAAAAAAAGATTATACTGCAAAAGAAAAAGAAAAAAAAAAGAAAAAGCTGTTTGGCTTTATTTTTTTTAGGAAAGAGTGTTTGGCATCTTGAGAATGAAGCAGGTTCCTGTGGAGCCAGTTAGCACGCTCCACACTGCTACCACGCTCAGCAGCCACGGTATCAGTGCTCTTATAGTTTGTTGTCTAACATAAAATAATACAGTATCATTTGTTTTCTTCCAGTAAGTGTGGTGGTGCTTTGCTGGTTCCCTGCTATTGCAAGGAACCAAAAGAGGTGAAGCTGCAAATGAGCGTTACTGCTGGTTAAGAGAAAACCCGTGGCAATACACTGCTCAGCTCTTTTAAGCAGCAGAAGTATAATGACTGAATAAACACGGCAGAAAAGTTAGGCCACTGCAAAATGATCATGAGCCTCCTAGAGAGTCAGCGGACCCAATTCCATGACTGTTTGGTGGGAGAGCCAAGCACTGATCTCAAAATACTCCAAGAACACAGGTTCACCCATGTTCTCTTGACATTTGCAGGCAGAAGCATTTTCCTCGCAGACTATGCGAGGTCGGGCAGCCCATGGAGAAGACTTTTCTGCACAGCTGGGAGAGGAGAGGAAGGGGGAGACTGTCAGCATTTTTAGGAGGTGGAGACCCTGATTCTGAATGCCTGATGTGATACCAACAATACGATTTTTTGTGAGCTCTCAAGTCCCTTCAGCTCCAATTTATTTCACTCGAGATTGATTTTTTTCCCAGATTCAGAACTCGCCGCCTTGAGGCCAATTTTTTGTATTCATTCCCAACCATCAGAAGTGCAATCAAACTGAAATAACAGCTGCAGGTAATTTGGGAAACAGTCAACTGACACTCACCTCCTCCCCCCTCTACCACAGCACACCTCGTTTGTGACCATCAGATCTTGGGTCTGATTTACATGAGAACCGTACTGGAGACATTACCATGAGTATGTCAGGTACAGGCAGCTGTCAAAGCTGCAAAAAATAACCACTGCTGTGAAAAGAACCTAAAGGCCCAACCCCACAGGTATTCACTCATGACAAAGTGTCTCATGCTGGGCTGAGCTTAACGGGATTTCTTGCCCGAGTATGTTGTATGGACGTGACTGAGAATTAGGAAGATCAGGCCCATAATTTCTAACGGCAGAAAACAATTCTTTAAAACACTTCCTACCTTTAGAAATCAATCGAGCAAGAAATTAGAAGGGGGAAGGAAGTATCACCAGGCTTTCAGAAACATCCCTGAACCTTCAGCACCTGCTTGGTAATGCCAACCCATCTGCTTAAAGCAAAGTGTTTCCTCTGCACAACTCTTATTTGCAAACTAGAGAATATATTGTAAACTTGTGTGCGGTGCCAAAGGCATGGTGGTTGCTCATTTATTGTGTTCCTTGGTTTCTTACTTGTATGTTGCTACCAGGCAAGGTACCAATGCCGTCTTTCCAGTCTAAGGCATTCAGTAAATCGTAGTCTGGTGGCGGGATGGTGACGATTCTCTCCGAGACATTCTGTTCCATCTCTCTGCTTAGCCTTTGGGATCTTTATTTAATTTTAAGAAAGAAAACTAGGGCTTGAAAACAAAACAAAAAAAAAGAGGCAGATAATAAATCCTGGGTTCTCTGGATTCAGTGGGAGTTTTGGTCTGGATATTAGCAGTACCAGGATTTAAATTGACAGAATCAAATACACAGGAGCATGCACAAACTCATATCCCACATCCACTGTGACCAATCTGTACAACTCGGGGAGTAGCAGCATCTGTCGCCAGGTTCCTCTGTACTGCTGCAATGCTTAGGCTCTAGGCTAGAAATCCTAAAGAGCTCTCAAAATGCTTTTGGTGCTTGTGCTGCCCTCGTCTCCCAGGAAATGAACTAACGGGCTCTGTTAGAAGAGCTGATTAAAAGCCATACAACTATCCGGGTCCCCAGTTCCCAAATATTCAACGATTGTTGTGGTTGACTCTAAAACACTGACCATAAATTAACTGTTACTGCCCTTTGAATGTAACCTGAATATTTTCAAGCTGTGAACATCACTGCTTGCCTACAAAGAAAAGATCCACAACCTTGAACTGGCAGCGCTGCTGCATTTTAGGGGTGTGAGCTCCTGGATTTCAGCAGTGTGAGCAAAACCCGCTGTTCAGTTCCCCAGAGCAGAGCCCAAGCGCCAGGTCTAACGGCATTCTTGCTGAAATGGGCCAGAACTGCCCGAGTGGGGAATCTCTGCTCTGACTTTTGAATTCCCAAGGTCAACAAGGCTGCTCTGAGCTCTTAACCCAGCTCTAAAAGCAGGCATCACCCAAGAACAATTTGCTCCATCTGCCTTTGGCAGACTGTTTCTCCCCGTGAGTACTGAAAGGAGCTTTACAGTGACATGGCTGGGGCAGGTTTTAACCACCGGGTGCTTAACTTTGGGCAGCCCAGCTCCAACTCCTGACCTGAAGTCCTCCACGTGCTACACCATCTATCTGCAGGCTGGGAGTGCAGGTTTATTCCAGCCAAAGGCAAAGCCACAGACCTGGTGCAGGGTAACTGACGATGCCTGCGTGTTCCTGCGGCTGCAATTCAAGCACAGCAGCTCTCTGTGATGATCTTATTGAGGTTAAAAGCAGGATAGATGTACGTGGACTGCACTACCAGGTATCTCGGGGGTATCACAGCCGAAACCCTGCAGGACTTACTTTTTTTTTTTCACCCCCGGGTGTAAAAACCCAGCTACTTACAGTCCTGCCGAGGTGTGAAGCTCAGCAGCACGTAGCCCAGCGGGATAGGGCCAGGAGGCTGCAAGTGGGAAGCAGCAAAGCCGTGGGCGCCTGCTCAGCTCCCAGCGGTCCTCAACCGACCTGCGGAACCTGGTGGG